CATGACAATCTGACTTTATTAGGTTGCAGCATTGAAAATAACTTGTCAGATCAGGTTAAAAAGTCTCTTTACTGTAACAGCTGTACTGTGTAACACTGGGTTATTGGTTTCTTCAATAAATATTTGTACATGGTGAATCACATTCTGTGTCTGTCACATTACTCCTGTATAGTTATTTATATATTTATTTATTTGTATTCAGGGTGAGAGATCCAGATTAAGGTCATGGTTCACCAAGTGTCACCGGACCAGACAAGACAAGACAAATTTCATCCCAGTTATGACATGCACACACACACATTCATATATATATTCCTCTGTATATACTGTACATATGGAGTCTGTCATCACTTGTGTTTGTTCATGTGAGCTGGAGGATCTCATTAGACTAATATGTGTGTGTGTAGTTATGTCATGTTTTCTGCAGGAGGAGCTGGAGGCTTTAGTCAGTGTGCTGAAACAGGATCTGGAACTGTGACCTCATGAAACAAATCTGTAAAACCTCTGATGAACACAAACCGGTGAGTTCAGAAATCAATCCAAGCATCATATTATATCCATAAATGTATATATTTCATCAGTTATTGGAGCACAATTCTCTAGTTATGAAAAATATCTGTTTTGGTAAATGCATCACGGTTCATCTGTTTCTTATAAAAGGAAGAATTTGCTGAATTCATAGAGATTTTTCCTTATGGAAAGAACATACATTTATGATCAATATATTAAATGGTTTAAATATTTTGAAAAATATATTAAATAATATTACAATAAATTGAATGATATATATGTAATTGCCGCTTTTCATATATTGAAAAACATGACAATATTTTTACTATAAACACAAATTATTTTTTTAAAGTGAGTTTTCAGTATTTTGTAGAGTGTGTGGAAACTGATTGCCTTTAGATTAATAACAATTACTTAATTGCTAAAGACTCATGAAATATTTCACTTGCTTCTGCATCCTTGTTCATTAAAGTGATTAATTAGTACAATTACTAGATTCACAAGTGATTCATCAATCACAAGACCCATCTATGAAGGAGAGAAACTAATACACAAAGTAAAGGAAGGACCATCACATTTATTAGATAAGAGATAATAAATCATTACTGTGTTACAGTACAATTTGTTTGTCAGTGTCCGACAACAAGATTAAAAACCTTTTTCAGAAAATAATAACCCTTGTTTTCCCAGAATCAGTCACAAAAAAGGTGCAAGTAACCTCCTAAAGCCTAAGAAAAGGTGAAAGATTAGATGTAGGACAAATAATTCCGGTAACACTTTATTTTACGACCTGCAAACAACTGTGCAAGTACACTGAAATTACGGTGTACGTTTCTGTAATTATAGTGTACTTCCGTGTAGGTATAAGGGAACAATATGTTAAGTTTTGGGTAATAAAGGGGTAACAAGCACCACTTTAATTTACAGCCTGCAGGAGTTACACTTACCCTAACTACACAGAACAAGGGGGTAACAAACGCTACTTACTATGTAGCACAACACTATTTGCACTGTAATAATTACAGAGAAAGGTACTGTTCTGATGATTGAAAAGGACTGTATAATTTGGATGTTCTTTAAAGGGTTGTGGCCACCAGGGGGGCATCGATTAGAATGCAGACAAGATGTTCCGTTAAAGGTGTTTTAATAAAATAAAAGTTCAAAGGTGTATGTGTGGTTCTGAAACAGAGATACAGACATAACTCAGTAAATGTAAACTATCTGTATAAATGTCAAATAGTTATTACATGCCTAGCAGGTAACTTCTATAATAAACAAACATCAATATACTCACTGGTAGTTGCACGCACACAATTCTAGAAACTTGTAAGTTAAGGGAGGAACACTCTAATGTTCTCAGTATACTGTAAATGGCACAGTCTGACTCTTTCAACACCAGCACTCCTTCCAAACTTTCCCGAACTGAACCGTTAATCTAATTCTTCTGAGAGCCGGAGAACGCAGTGCCGCTTCTGATTGGCTGATTCCCACACAGCCAGTTTCATCTGCATAAAAGAGGTCATCCTTCGTAACAGGTACTGTTATCAAAAACAAACAAACAAACAAAAAAACTAGGGCTGTCAAACGATTAATCGCGATTAATCACATCCAAAATACAAGTTTGTGTTTACATAAGATATGTGGGTGCACTTTGCATAATTATTTTGTAAATGTATAAATACACACAGATGCATGTATATTTAAGAAAAAATATTATTTATATATAAAATATTTATATTTATACGTAATATAAATTATATATAAATCTATTTACAGTATATACATGAAAATATTTCTTAAATATATACAAGCATGTGTCTGTATTCATATATATATGCCCTGTGGCTGTTTGTATTTTAATTTTTATTTTTCCCTCTGTACAGCACTTTGGTCAACGGAAGTTGTGTTTATCTGTGCTCTATAAATAAATTGAAATTGAAATTAAATAAATTGAAATATAGAATAATTATACACAGTGCACCCACATATATTATGTAAACACAAACTTTTATTTTGGATGCGATTAATCGCGATTAATCATTTGACAGCCCTAAAAAAAAACGTTTTAATTACACAGTATATTTGCCATGACATTTAAGTATCATTGCAATTAAATGGGATAAGGTAAGTACTAATTGCCACATGGTAAGGTCTAAATTAAAATCATAGCAAAAACAAATTATTTTGACTTAACATTAAGTAATCTAGTAAGTGTGTGTGTGTTTAATTTTTAACGTCAAAATTACCCTGTAACATTGCACAAGAACATATTTTGCCAGAAATGTGATATGTTTTATAAACAACAGACGTACAATTTTTGCCTGGAATATATTAACAGAATAGGTACCTGTTATTTTTTAACTAATTAAATAATTTGCTTGTATAGCTGCTTGTTACCCCTTTATTACCCCAAACTTAACATATTGTTCCCTTATAACTACACGGAAGTACAATAAAATTACAGAAACGTACACCGTAATTTCAGTGTACTTACAAAGTTATTTGCATCTGTTTGTTACCCCTTTATTACCCCAAACTTAACATATTGTTCCCTTATACTTACACAGAAGTACATTATAATTACAGAAACGTGCACCGTAATTTCGGTGTACTTACACAGGTGTTTGCGGGTCGTAAAATAAAGTGTTGTCATAATTCCTTATTCAATTGAATCCATACAAATGTGTAACCAGACCTCTACACAAAAACACACCCAAAATATGAAATAATCCAATCAATTACCTACATCTATCAATCGCCCAACAAACCTGTCAAAGAATAACCCTTCACTATCCTCTAAACAAAAAAAAACAATAAACAGCAACAACAACCAAAATATGAAAAAATACATAAATTCAATAGTTTGGATTCAATTCAAAGGTTTATCAATCACCCAACAAACCTGTCAACCCATAACCCTTCACCATCCTCTACGTTTAGTTGCTAATAGAGTTTATAACCAGCATCCAACACCACATTTTGTGAATAAGCAAATAGAGCTGCTCAAGTTTACATCAGTAGTTATGCCCAAATATTATACTGTATATGTGAAGAACTGAAATAACCCATCAGACAGCACTTCAGTTTCATCCAAGGTCAAAGTATCACTCTACTCGAGTTGTGTAACTCTGTTACTTTGGATTGATTTAGATATGTTTATGGTTTAATCAGATTTATCTTCGCACCGCTTTTTGTCAACAGCATCTACCATAAGTTTTATTCACAAAAAGAAAATGTCATATGGACACACGTGGCTTAAATTGCTCTCCTTCAATTATCATTATGTAATAATTGCAGTTTTTCATTTGCAAGTCACCTTTGATAAAAGCATCTGCTAAATTAATAAAAGAAATATCACATCAACTGCATGTTATGGCTAATCATATTATTCCCAGTTCAGTGTATATATTGAAATTGGCAAAGAAAAGCCTCTGAATAAAATGAAATAAAAGAAGATACATTAAGATTGTTGCAGCAGAGTAAATTCTTGATTAGACTAATGTTGTTTTGAAATCATAATTAAACATGATTGCTTTAAATTGACGGCCTTACTTTAAAGGTGAACATGGGCAACATGTGGTTGTATTAGATCAGACTTTACTCTCTCACATGTTTAAGAGACAGAGCAGGAGCAGTGGGGTAGAGGGAGCCCCACTCTGCAGGATAGCGATACTCTACCTCCTGCAGTCGGTGACAGCGATCAGTGTATTTATGACCCTTGTAGAGATCCCAGACGCCTCTTTTCACCTTACTGGAGCGGACCGCATTAATACCGCAGTCGACCAAAGAAGGACAGTCCTCTGTGATTATTCTCTTAATGCCTCTAAACTCCACCTGGTCGTAGACCAGAATCCCAGACTCACACTTGTGGAAAAGAAACAAAGTTTGTTTTAAATGAGACAAGCCAATAGAGCCAAGAAAACACTTGGATAATGAACTGTGTGTGTGTGAGTGTGATACTATTCAAATGATTTGCAATTTTATTTTATTATTCATTTATATTTGTCTATTCATATTTACATATATTTTTGTAATGTTATCAGTAATGTGCAAAAATGGGTGTGCACATGGGATATTTGAGTTGCATTTCCAATTGTAATTAACTTGCTCTAACTGATCTTTTCCCATCTAATGTTATTATTTAAATGTATTTAAATATATTTTTTAATATTTAAAAATGCTTGTAAAAAATATGTTTTCAAAATTGGTTTATGGCCCAATAAGTTTTAGCCTGCTAAAATAATATTTACCTCATCCCTAAACCTAATTCTCACATAAACTTGTTGACTTTTTAAAAAATGTTTATTGTGCATAATTTAATCTAACTGTATACATGTGTAATTTAAATAAAATGTTCCTATTAAATTTATCATGTTTTGAGAGGATCGTGATCGCCTAGCGCCATCTGTGTTCATAATAACTTTTTTTGAACCCGTGATTCTTGAGCAACCTTTTCTACCAATGAAAGTTTGACATGTCAATATTAGATCAGGAAGTGTTTAGTTTGTCTCTCAGCTGTTTCCCTGATCATGTCAGATTTGCTCTGTGTGAAATCTTGGTTTATGTTATTAACTTTCTTCTACGCTTGATTTTTTTTTTTCTTTTAAATGTCTCTTGAGGACGAGCTGTCGTGTCCCGTGTGCACTGAGCTCTTCAGAGAGCCTGTGTTACTGAGCTGTGGTCACAGTTTCTGCCGTCAGTGCATTAATGATCACTGGAGCTCGAGCAGATCCAGGACCTGTCCCGTCTGTCGACAGCTTTCACCTCAGCCACCTGTGTCCAATCTGAGCCTGAGGAACACCTGTGAGTCTTACCTGAGAGAGAACAACTCGAGGAAGGAGAGAGAGAGAGAACATGTGTGTCAGAGACACGGAGAGAAGATCGAGCTGTTCTGTCAAGCGGATGAACAGGTTTTATGTTCAGAGTGTAAGAAACATGAGCACAAATGGCACAAAATACAGCCGCTACAACAGGCAGTGCGACAACGCAAGGTGAGGGAATCTTGAATGTGAAATAAGCATCTCATTTGCATGTTATGGCGATATGAATATTCAGTTTCGTTTCGGAAAAAAACACTGTGTGTGTGAGAGTGTGAGAGAGAGAGAGAGAGAGAGGAGGGGGGGGGGGGAGAGTGTGTGTGTGTGTGTGTGTGTGTGTGTGTGTGTGTGTGTGTGTGTGAGAGAGAGAGAGAGAGAGAGAGAGAGAGAGAGAGAGAGAGAGAGAGAGTTTGAGTGAGTAACATTTACATTAATTTTCATATTTTGAGTCATATTTTGGAGTCATGTGTGTCACTATGATGGTGTTTTGTTTTAACTTGCTCCGGTTTCTTTACTACCGGTTATGCCTCAGATTCAGAGGGGTTTGACACATTAATTCTCTGTTGATGAGACTATACTGAATTGAATATTAATTCTGTTTTGTTATTTTAACAGCCAGGCATAGAAACAGTTTCTTCCCTCAGGCAATCCACCTCAACACTCATAACAGCAATAAACAACACTATTCATTTATTTAACACACTGTCACACTTCTTATTTATATTTCCTTGCATTTGTATACATACCATTTTTCTTTGTATATTTATTTGAAATTGTGAAATTGTGTGAAATTGTGTATTTTATTAATTCTATTTTTATTGTCTGTGTCCTGTCACTGTTATTCTGTTTGTGCTGTGGAAGTTTCTGTCACCAAAACAAATTCCTCATCTGCAAACACACCTGGCAATAAAGCTCTTCCTGGTTCTGATTACAGGAGAGGGTGAAAGCGGCTCTTCGTCCAGCCGAGAAGAGCTTGTGGTCACTGCAAAATGGTGCCGCACAAGACGCCAAGATCTCTGATTACAATCAGGTGACTTATTCCATTGATATTTTTCTGTTAGTAAACTAGCCAGATTCAAGTAGAGGATTTCCAGAGTAGATTTCTTTCGTACCAACTAACATTTGGAAAAAAACGAACATTTTTATGAATGAATGAAATTTACAAATTAACCAAAAAATGTGTTACTAATAAGTTAAAAAATTATGTTCGTATTAGTGTTGTGTCATATATGGTTGTCTACTGTATATACTGTCCCATTCTGTTCAGTTTGTTTATATGTAGAACTGAAGCTTGAGCAGATCTTATTAACACAGAGAATCTGCCAGTTCAGATGATTCACATTATATCATTAGACATTCATTTACATTATGACAAATTAAGTTTAAATCCAGACACGTACAACTTCTAATGTATTTTCAGAAGGGTGGTGGTCATGTTTATCAAATGTTACATTTAAAATTAACATTTAAACCCCACAGTCTCAAGTTCAGCAGACAGGGAGAAAAATCAGGGAGGAGTTTAAGAAAATCCACCGCTTCCTCAAAAAAGAGGAGGAGAGCAGGATAACCGCTCTAAATGAAGAAGAGAAACAAAAGAGAGGAAAGATGGAGAAGAGAAGGAAGGGAAGAATACATTCTCTCTCAGACAGACTCAGAGAGGTGGAGGAGGGAATGAAGGATGATGACGTCACTTTCCTTCAGGTGAGGATGGGATACACTTTACATACTCCCATGTGTTGTTTTATTAGTCACTAATCGAGCTGTCTCTATGTGCATTTACACAGAATTATAACAGCCTTATGAACAGGTATTTTTTTGGCTTCTAAGTAAAAATATAATAGAGCTTAGTTGAGTCCAGTCGTTACTCTGAGAGCTGTGTGTGTGTGTGTTTAGAGCTAAATACACACTTCCAGATCCAGAACTGAGTTCAGAAACTCGTATTGATGTTCCCAAACATCTGGGCAACTTGAAGTACCAGGTGTGGGAGAAGATGAAGGACGTCTGCCCTTACTGTGAGTACTAGATGTGTTTGTTAACAAGTGTCTGACGCTACAAATGAATAGGAAAGACAATTAAACTGATAGATAGTTTCTCAAAAGATTAATCACTGTATGTTAGACACATATAACATTTCGAGTTTGCAAATGAGGCAGTTTCACACTAATTTACTTACACTTTCAAAATAGAAATCTTGATTATTGGATAAAGCAGATTCAAAATTCATGTTTGTTTTCTTGACATACTAAAGTTAAAGGTTTTTACGGAGGGGATTTTTAATCAGAAAATAAACAAAAATACATTTTCACCCAATGTTAAGGAATAAAATGTTATGTAAATTAGATGAATGATTAGAGATAAACACAACTGTAAAATTGGTGCTGACTTGGAGAAAAGCTCATTTTGAGAAAACAGCCTTTAAAGATTTGTACTGTCATTTAAATCTACAGACGCCAATAGATAAAGCGTCATAAATAATTATATGTGTATTTTGGATGTTTTCTTTCTACACTAGACTGAAAGAAGACGTGGAAGCAAAATCCCAAATTGACGAGCGTATTAAAAAGTGATATATTTGCCTGTGGTGTGTTTCCTTAAAGGCACACTATGCAAGAAATAACAGCTTTAAAGTCATGTCGGTGGTAAACAAACTCACAGTGGGAGGGGGGGGGGGCTGCTGGAAAAACCAGTAATGCAAGTTTGAGAGGAAAACTTCCATCACTGGTCTCGCGAGAATCAACAACAACAATGAGGCAAGAAGACACTTGTGTTCAGACGTGATACTCGAAGATGGAAAAAGCAAAGAAAATGTGGTTGGAAGGGACTATGAAAACCGCGTGAGGAACTGCACACCACAAGAGACGCTATGTATATGTAACGGAGGCCCGCTAGTAGTTGCTGCGCGAGTAAACCTCACTCCCCTGATCTCAATAGGCACTCTAGCGACAGATGCTAGAGGTTACAGTCTTTAGCCTCCTTGTTAGAGCGCCTGACTCTCATGCCGGAGACCCAGGTTCGAGGCCCGTTCAGAGTGTGTCGAGTAGGACCCGGGTGGAGGGGTTACATATCCATGATACTGATAGCAGCGGACAGGAGCACTCCGATTGAGTTCAAAAACACATTTTAGCGCTAGATCTCTTATTTAAAGGCACACTATGCAAGATTTGTACCTTAATATAACCGCTTCAAAGGGGTATCAGGCCGTGAGTGCACAGACGCTCTGCGTGAGTGGTATTTACGACTGTAACGTTAAACACAAGTACTCCACAGCACTCTAGGGGTCGCTGTTTGACTGGCAGATGATATTCTCTTCTAATCTCTCCAGATCCTGTGATCCTGAACCCAAACACTGCTCCAGACGTCTCTGTGTCAGATGATCTGACCTCTGTGACCTCATGTCTCCGTCGGCAGGACAAGCCTAAAGCTCTTTGTTTGCACAGGAACCGGGTGGTGTTGGGAAGTGTGGGATATGGTGATGGTGTTCACACATGGGATGTTGAAGTGGGAAACAGTCGGCACTGGAGTCTTGGAGTGTGTTTTGAATTGGAAGGAAAATCTCCTACACAACCTCTGACCCCTGAAAACGGCTTCTGGGGTCTCAGACGGGATGGATACTTACTCCATTTCCTGAACACAACACTAATCTTCAAGCTGGTGACGAATCCTCAAGTAGTGCGAGTGAGGCTAGAGGATTGTTATGACATGAAGGGAGGATGGTGGAGGAATGTGAGTTTTTTTGACGCTTCTGATGATTGCCTTTTTGCCCACATTACTGGAGTGCCTGCTGGGAAGGATCTCTTTCCATTTGTGATCCCAGAAGATCCTTCTGTCCCACTGCGTGTCGTCCCAGCTAAAATTACTCTGACCGTTAAACCGTTTGAACCGTTTGAACCGTTTGAACCGAAGCTATCCTTCAAGGAGAGACATCGAGTCTTGATCATCATCTGTGTTTGTGTCATTATGGTGATATTGGTGATTCTGTCATGGAATATCGATGGCAATGTGCATGAAAAGAAAAGCATTTGACAAACTGTCCATTTTCTGACATAATGGTCTTTTGCAATAGCAAACAAAATAATGCTAATATTTAAACTTACTTGCTATCACTGATGGGCAGTAACGCGTTAGAAGTAACGCGTTACTGTAATCCAATTACTTTTTTTTTCTAGTAACGAGTAAAGTAAGGGATTACAATTGAAAAAAACAGTAATTAGATTACCGTTACTTCCCCGTAAACAGCCTGCGTTAGTTAACCGTGATTTTGTTTAGTCAGACTGTGTCGTGACCTGAGTTGTGCGTGAATAACAATGATGTATGAGCGCCGCGACATCAGTGAGAGACGACTAGAGCGCGGGAGAGAGCAGCCGAGCTGTCAACTCTCACACACGCTCACACGACACACCCCTGATTTCTCGCGCTGAAGTGTCAATCCCGTCGGTCAAATGCCTGAAAGATGAGTTTATCTATAAATCTAACCTTTGAGCCACATTTGTGATTGACTAGTTATAACGCAAATTAGTTAAAATCTCCCGGAATCTAGAGCGAGCGCGCATGCGAGACTGTGTTCCAATGTCCAAACTTCGTATCGCGCGCACGACGAGGAGAGCGAGAGAGAGACTTGCGTACTATGCAGAGAGCATCCTGATCTGGAAACTGGACCCCCGTTGGAGAATGTCAAAATTCTACCTCAAATCTGAGCAAGCATGTCACGAGACAGCCTCACACGGTTAACTAAAGCAGCAAGCCGGTGTTCAGGAATGTGAAACTTACTGAAAAAAACCCTGAACCCCCGTCTGACATGACCACTGCGGCTACATGCTGATGGGACATAACCACTGTTTAACAAAAAAAAAAAACAAACAAAAAAAACTTGAAGCCAAAATACGGCAGGCAACAGCATTTTCTGTTTTGATCAACTAATTTTTGCTCCTCTCTGCACTTTACTGTTAAAAGACGTAAGTGTTAATACTTTGTAATATAGTCAGGAGCGACTTTCATGATTTTATTGCTGTATTTTTACATCTATTCAAATGAAGGATTTTATTTATTTTATATGCTGGAATATGTATAAATATATATTAACAGAAGAAGGGCTGTCTTTATTTCCTTAAAATGGTGGAATGTGCAGAAAATAGGTTTAAATGTTCAACAATTTTCTTCTAGTCTGAGACTGTTGCATTTAATTTAATTTTTGCTTGATGCAATGTGCATAAAGTTAAAATACAAATAAACAAATAAAACAAGTTTAAAAAAGAGAATGTTTAATTTGATTACATTTTAGATGACGGAATATGCAGAAAGAATAGAATTAGGCTGAAAGGTCTATGCTTTAGCGTATTCAGGTCGTGCATCATGTTTTTGAAAAGTAACTTAGTAAAGTAACTAGTAAAGTAACTGATTACTTTTGAAAATAAGTAATCAATAAAGTAATTGGATTACTTTCTTGGAGAAGTAATCAGTAACTAATTACTATTTCCAAGTAACTTGACCAACACTGCTTGCTATATGCATCTTGATGTTAGTCTAATTTTGTATGCACATTTATTTCATTCTTGCACATCTGTGATGAATGAAGCCTCGTAAAAGTGCTGCGCGAATGCGCTATGGCGCTCTGCAATCAAATACGAATCAAATATATATATATATATATATATATATATATATATAAATGAAAATCAAAATGAACGTATGGGAAACCCTGTTTTTATACTGTAGTTGTTCTCATAAATATTGTTCTTGGAGTGAATGGGTGTAAATGCTGGGTACAGTGTAAACATCCGTGGTAGAGTTTCTGTTGAACCGTCTATTATTATTAATATTATTATGATTATTATTATGGATATAGACTTTTTCCACAGCAGTTGATCACTTATTTCAAACCACTTCTAAACTTTGATATTAGGATTGATCCTTTATCCATCTCCACAGTGCTTCCTGTTGCTCCTCGGCAGCACACAGATATAACAATCATAATGTTAAAAGCTGGTGCTGTGTATCTTTGTGATGTATCAAATGTCCTAACCTGAACTGAACTGCTTTTGACTCATTATTATGTCCAGCAGTGCTCAATATCCTGGTTGATGTGTGTAAATATCCTGTTTGACCAGTTATCCAAAGTCTTAAAAGTACAGTTCAGAGCAGTTCATGTTATTTGATTCTCCTTTGTTCTGTTGTCCAAGCTTTCATATCTTTATGCTTTTGGCCTTAGATTTACATTGGGATTTTGTCTTTTTGACAATGGCTTGCTGGTTTTCTTCAATAAATTTCAGATCCAGTCACTAAACATTGAGATGATGCAGTGATTTAGTTTGTGTTTAAAGCAGACGTCACACACTCACACACTGTCTGCTCTCCTCTATTTCATGTCTTTCTGATTCTCAGTCTGTTTTCATTCTTCATCTTCATTGGTTCCTCTCATGTCCTGAATGGATCAAGTCACTGTTGTTTAATTAAATTAATTTATAGGCTTGTGTGTTTGTCTTGAATCACAAAACAAGGTGCCGGTAGTTATTTCCTACTTGTTTACTTGAATGTTTACCACATTTAAATTGGTAAAACCAGTATTTCTCTGCTTCATGTAATGTGCTGCCCATGTAATAATTTTTCACATGACCATTTCTACTACAAGTTGGTCAAATGGAGTAGTGACTGACAACAAACAGTCATAATTCACTAAACCTCATAACATGTATGTCTTTCCATATTGAGTTTAATTTTTATTCATACTTTGTGAGTTCAGTTGCCTAAAGCAGTGAATAAAATAAATAGTTAATAAATAAATAAAAAATCACACCAACTCTTAGACACACTGGGAATATGATGCCGCTCTGCGCCACAAGGAAGAGCGATTGTTTTTTATATGGGTGGAGTTTATGGGTCTAGTTTCCAGGTGACTAATCACAACTGAAAGAAGAAGAAAAGAAGAGACGCAATTTTAGGGCTTTAAACCGGTTAAAATTGATTATTAAACAGCCACTTATTTTTGCGGTAAGTTCAGAAATTATTCATTTAACCATGTAGTTATCCAAATGAGCTGCTATCTTGTGTTTTGTCTTCATTACATGATTTTTTTTCGACCAAAATAGTTCAATAGCTCTTTCAAAAACATTGACAATCAAAGACGTGAAGTTGTAGATGCATTTAGATTAACTTATATCAGGATTTAAACCAGTATTTGTGTTTAAAATAAAGGGTTATTGATCTGTGTTGATCCTGGGTGAAAAGATCATGATATTTCTCTACCAGGACACCTTTTAATGCACAGAAGTTATGTTGTAATCAAACGCAACATCAGTGATCATATGATTGTTTTTACTGTAGCACAAGGAAATGAGGTATGCAATGCTTGTTGTTTTACCTGTTTAGACCCCTTTAAAGGGTTAGTTCACGCAAAAATGAAAATTAAGTCATTAATTACTCACCCCCATGCTGTTCCAACCCCGTAAGACCTTCGTTCATCTTCAGAACACAAATGAAGATATTTTTTATTGAATCTGAGAGCTGGATCAGTCCTACATAGACTGCCTAAGGGACTGGCTCTTGATGGCCCATAAAGTCATTAAAGAAAAGGTTTAAATATTCCATGTGCCTTCAGCGGCTCAATTATAAGTTTATCAAGCGACGAGACTTGTGCGAAAAAAAACATATAAATAACGACTTTATTCGACTATTTCATTACTTCCTTATGGGCGCATGCGCGAGAACTGAGACGAGGACGTTCTTCTTCGACTACTTTTTGTTACCGGCTGCTCACCGCTTAGGAGTATTACCGCCACCTACCGTATAAAATGATGATCCATATATAAGGCGCTCCGGATTATAAGGAACACTGTCGTTTTTTGAGAAGATTAAAGGCTTTTAAGTGCACCTTATAGTGCGGAAAATACACTAATTGAAAAGTGTATGTACAGCGCGCATCTTCCTCTGCTTGTAAACAGAAAGTTTTGCGCTTCCAGCTATATCAGCACATCATCTTATACGGTAGGTGGCGATAATACTCCTAAGCGGCGAGCAGCCGGTAACAAGTCGAAGGAGAACGTCCTCGTCTCAGTTCTCGCGCATGCGCCCATAAGGAAGTAATGGAATAGTCGAATAAAGGCGTTATTTATGTTTTTTCGCACAAAAAGTAGTCTCGTCGCTTGATAAACTTATAATTGAGCCGCTGTAGGCACATGGAATATTTAAACCTTTTCTTTAATGACTTTATGGGCCGTCAAGAGCCAGTCCCTTAGGCAGTCTATGTAGGACTGATCCAGCTCTCAGATTCAATAAAAAATATCTTCATTTGTGTTCTGAAGATGAACGAAGGTCTTACGGGGTTGGAACAGCATGGGGGTGAGTAATTAATGACTTAATTTTCATTTTTGGGTGAACTAACCCTTTAAATGTTATGCAGGTGTGATGCATTCAGTGCCATAAAAGCTTTGCTGAATTTCTGTGTCTTTTTGGAGTGTTGAGCAACGCAATAGCCAATCAGAAATGTCTTGTATTTGCATTTAGTCTTGCAGTGTAAAAAGAATAAAAATTGAAAAATATTTGAAGGCTACATGTATGAATTCTAGCAATCAAAATAAATATTAGCGTTAATGATATTTTTTATTCTAATCAAATAAAATAGGTGAATCGGAAGAACATGGAATGTGCCCGAATATAACAAAAATTCCTGAACACAAATAACTCAAGATGTCTGAGATGGACCATTAACTTTCAAATATTACAGAGGTCATAAATAATGTAAATAAAACAGTCAGACGGATACATTGTGGATAAAATACATAGTTTTACTGTACTGCAATGTCCACACAAAAATGAAAACTGACATTTTTTGACTCTAATGGAACAACATAATTGTATGCTTGTTTCTCTGTTTATTTTTGAACTATCTTTTCAGACCGCTGTTTCCATGTAAAAGGTCAATCAAGTACAAGTCTTTTTTGAGAAATGAGAGTAAGTTATCAAATTGAGTCACCATAGAAGATGAGGATAGTGCTTCTAAAATGAGTTCTTCATCTCCTGGATCAAGCTGTGAGCCTATCAAGAGTGATCAGTCCATGAGGAATCAACCCTCTGGATCCAGTGATGCAACAGCAACCTCTGACCCCTGGTAAGATAACCACCATGTTATCGTTTGTCAGATGTCTTTTTTTAGAATGAAGCTCAATGTATTCCTGAAATCTGTGGTTGGTGCGTGAGCGAGACTCATGGTGCCATCACATAGAGACAAAAATTACTACATTAATAATTCATACACTTACTACATCCACATTGAACTTCTGCGTTACACCACTCATGTTACTGCCGATTTTGGATGAAATATATTTTTTTTTCTGGAGGTTTAAAATACTGTTTTATTTGTCTTTTGACAGTATCAGAAGGAGAAAGAGACTGAGATCAGAGTTTACAGAACCCAGTGGTGTGTCTCTGAAGAGCAATGACTCTATTAGGCTACCCAATAACTTCAGAGAAGGACCAGTGACTAATGAACCCATGTTAGTAGTAAAAACATTTACTAATTTACTGTAGAGGTTGTAATTTGAAGTGAGGCTTCAAAATAGTGTCTCCAATGGTCATTGTAATGTCATTGTTTTTTTTGTTTTTTTTTTAAATCTTTTAATTTTTGTCAGCAAAGGGAAAATACATAAGCTGGTCAGACCTGTGTCTTTCCCAACTCATATCAGTCAGGACAAAACAGAAGCAATCCTGCAGACACATACATTGGAGACTGGAGACCTGCAGAGAGTCAAAGACCAGCACAAAACCAGCATGAAGATCAAGTACGAGAGATTATATGAGGGAAACAAACTCCAAGGGTGTCAAACCCTTCTGAACAGGATCTACACACAGCTCTACATCATAGAGGGAGAGAGACAAGGAGTGAATGGAGAACATGAGGTTTTACAGATGGAGAAAACAGCCAGAACACAACACTCACAAGACACTCCGATCCACTGCAATGACATCTTTAAAGCCTCTCCTGAACCAGGACGCCAGGAGAAAGACCAAATCAAGACTGTTCTTACTAAAGGCATCGCTGGAATCGGGAAAACCGTCTCTGTGCAGAAGTTCATTCTGGACTGGGCCGAGGGAAAAGACAATCAGGATGTAGATTTCATGTTTCTGCTTCCATTTCGAGAGCTGAACTTGATACGAGATCATCAGTACAGTCTTCATAGACTTCTGCTGGACTTTCATCCTGAACTTCAAGATCTGGACTCAAAGATGTATGAGGAGTGTAAAGTTGTGTTCATCTTTGATGGTCTGGATGAAAGCAGAATCACACTGATGTTTTCAGACGCTCAGGAAGTTTCTGATGTGACTGAGACTTCATCAGTGGGTGTGTTGATGTCAAACCTCATTAAAGGGGATCTGCTTCCCTCGGCTCTCATCTGGATCAACTCCAGACCAGCAGCAGCCAATCAGATCCCCTCCAAATACATCCACCGTCTGACAGAGATTCAGGGATTCAATGAGCCTCAGAAGGAGGAATATTTCAGGAAGAGAATCAGTGACGAGCATCAAGCCAGCAGAATCATCTCTCACATCAGAAGAGCAAGAAGCCTCCACATCATGTGCCACATACCCGTCTTCTGCTGGATCTCCTCCACTGTGCTTCAGAAGCTCCTGGAAGAAGATCTGAGTGCAGAAATCCCTCAAACTCTGACTGAAATGTACATCCACTTCCTGCTGATTCAGATCAACATGAGGAATCAGAAGTATGAAGAGAGAGATCCAGAGAAACTCCTGCAGTCCAACAGAGAAGTGATTGTGAAACTTGCTGAAGTGGCTTTCCATCAGCTGATGAAGGGCAATGTGATGTTCTATGAGGAGGACCTGATTGAGAGCGGCATAGACGTCAATGACGCCTCAGTGTATTCTGGGATTTGCACTGAGATCTTTAAGGAGGAATCTGTGATTCATCAGAGGAAAGTCTATAGCTTCATTCATTTGAGCGTTCAGGAGTTTCTTGCTGCTTTCCATGTGTTTTACTACCATGTGAACACAACTATGGAGAGACTGAAGAATTTTGCTTCAGTACAAAATTTGCTTAAAGGAGCAGTAGATAAAGCCATCAAGAGTGAGAATGGCCATCTGGATCTGTTCCTGCGGTTCCTGCTGGGCGTCTCACTGGAGTCCAATCAGAGACTCTTACAGGATCTACTGACACACACAGAGAACAGCTCAGAGAGCATCAGGAGAACCACACAGTACATTAAAGAGAAGATCAAAGATGGACATGGACTCTCCACTGAAAGATCCATCAATCTGTTCCTCTGTCTGCTGGAAGTGAAAGATCAGACTCTGTCCAGAGAGATTCAGGAGTTTGTGAAATCAGACAAACACTCAGAGAAGAAACTCTCTCCTGCTCACTGCTCAACAATCGCCTACATGCTTCAGATGTCAGAGGAGGGGCTGGATGAGCTGGACCTCAACAAATACAACACATCAGATGAGGGGAGAAGAAGACTGATACCAGCTGTCATCAACTGCACTAAAGCTCTGTGAGTGATTATTCCATAAGTTATCAGTTCCTGCTGTTGTTTCAAGTGATTTATCCTTGAGTAGAATTTACTCAGTTTTAGATTTCATTTTCATTTGAATGAAAGTTCTCTTTGTGTTTTTGAAATGCCAGTTATAGAAATTAGTATTTAGTATATTAAGTGTTTATTTATTGTGTGTTTTCTCTTTTTCAGTCTTGCTGGCTGTAATCTCTCGGGTCAGTCCTGTGAAATTGTGTCATCAGCTCTACAATCCTCAAACTGTGTCCTGGGAGAGCTGGATCTAAGTAACAATGACCTGCGGGATTCAGACGTGAAGCTGATCTCTGATGCACTGAAGAGTCCAAACTTTAAGCTGGAGATACTGAGGTGTGTAATATTTGATTTGATATAAGATATGTCGGATGACCAGTAATTTTTATTCAAGCTATGAATATTTAGTGCTAGTAGTGATTAGAGCACAACAATGGAGAAATTATCACACTGATCGAAGATGGTCTGGACTTTCTTGGTGGCAACTTCCCCAGTTTGCAAAGAATTGCGTCAGATCCTCTTCACATTTATACATTGATATCTCTTTCTTTAAAAAGATCCATGTAGAAGCATGTTAACATGTGAAAACAACTTATGTAAATTGCAATGCAATGCCTAATCTCTTCTTTAATTTATCCACAGGTTAACTGAATGTTAATGAGTGTTTGTATCTGACAGTCTATGTGTGTCTGTAGATGATCTGACTGTGTGTGTCTGTAGGTTGTCTGGCTGTATGGTGACAGAGGAAGGATGTGGTTATGTGTGTTCAGCTCTGAGTTCAAACCCCTCACACCTGAGAGAGCTGGATCTGAGCTACAATCACCCTGGAGAATCAGGAGTCAAGCTGCTCTCCGACAAACTGAAGGATCCAAACTATAAACTGCAGATACTCAAGTATGTATCAAGCGAGTTTCATGGAAGATTATTAATCCTGCTAACTTCAGCTATTATAAATAAGATCAGATTTATTTATTTATTTATTTTTTGAGTCGACATTGGGCTGGAAATCTTTTTGGGACCTGGCATCCCTGCCTTCAGATCACTTCAAACTAGACATTTTTTCTGGATCTTAAAGGATCACTTAAAGGATCCTTGATCCTTTATAGAAGCATGATGTATAGAAGTATGATGTTTTTTTGAGTTGAGGATGAAGTATGACATGTCTGCCATCTAGTGGAGGGGAGGTTGAATGAAATTTGACACCCTATTTGAAAAAAATCAACCGTTTTATTCAGTGCTGCATCTTGTCGAGTAAATGAATGAAATAATTTTGGTTTATATTTGTCTCTCTGTAGTGTGGACCATGGAGGCCCCTGTAGAATCAAACCAGGACTGAGAAAATGTAGGTCTCTCCCACTTGCATGCGCACTCACACACACGTGTACTTGACTATCTAAATAGTCACATTGCAAACACTTCAATCTTTTTTACACTCTTCCTTCGTTTTGTCCTAATCTCTCTTCTTGTGTTCAGATGCCTGTGATCTCACACTGGATCCAAACACAGCACATGTTAAACTCTCTCTGTCTGAGGAGAAGAAGAAAGCAACACATGCTAAGGAGGAGCAGTCGTATCCTGATCATCCAGACAGATTTGATGGCTTTGAGCAGGTTCTGTGTAGCGAGAGTCTGACTGGACGCTGTTACTGGGAGGTTGAATGGACCGGATTTAAGGTAGATATAGCAGTGACGCATAAAGAAATCAGCCGGAAAGGAGGGAATGACTGTTGGTTTGGATGCAGTGACAAATCCTGGAGTCTGTACTGTTCAACTAATGGATTTACTTCCTGGCACAATAATGTGAACAATTCCATACCGGTCCCATCACCCTTTCCTAACAGAGTAGGAGTGTATCTGGACGTGCCGGCCGGCACTCTGTCCTTCTACAGCGTCTCTGACACACGCACACGCACACACTTACACACATTCAACAGCACATTCACTGAACCCCTCTATGCTGGATTTGGTGTGTTTGATTCCTCACTGTCACTGTGTCAGATTTAACAACCTGCTGTCAGACACACAAACTTGTTGCCTGTAAACTAGCTTTTAGGGCATCTACTTGCTAGTGTATATCTAATGCAATAATATTTCAATTTGATGCATCATTGCATTGCATGTGTATGTGTGTACATCCAAAGACTTTGTGTTTGCAAAGACAGATTCACAAATTGCTGACCACTGGGGAGTCGACATTAAACGATTGCTATATCTAGTTAGAGTAAAGCTTCAGTATATTTACATTTACATACATTACATTTTACATTTACATTTAGCAGTTGCTTTTATCCAAAGCGACTTACAACTGAGGTCTAAACCAAGTGAGTCATCGTGAAGAGGCAAAAACAAGAAGTGCTCAAAATAAGATGTTCAGACATTCCTTGGAGTAGCATAAGCCAAACAAGCGAGGATTTAAAGGAAAAGGAAATATATATTTTTAATATTTCTTATGTTAAATGCTCACGGAAGAGATGAGTTGTCAGTTGTCTTTTGAGTGCTGTCAGGGATTCTGCATTCCGGATGATGATGGGAAGATCATTCCACCAGCATGGTACCGTGAATGAGAATGTTCCGGAGAGTGATTTTGAGGTTCTGTGACGGTACCACGAGCCGTCGCTCATTGGCCGCTTCTGCTAGGGATGTAGACTTGTGGTAGTGAGTGAAAGTAGGAGGGAGGGGGCTGAGCCCATGGGAAATCTGTAAGCAAGTGTCAACACCTTGAATAAATAACATATGGATCTTAATGGGAGTTGTAAGTGTAATAGCATGATATTCAAACGAGTTGTTGTTGCATAGAGAAGAGAGAGTTGAGTATTTCCAATTGTTAGAAATGTGAAGACCAGTACTTTTTTATGTTAATGAGATTGAGTTTTTTCAGGGCTCATGGTAGATCTTATATAAAAGCTACTGTAGATGTTGGTTCAGCAGCACTAATTTATACATTCACTCTGTTTAACACTATTCTCCTTTTTAAAATTCTTATTTTACTACATTTCTGAGAAGTTATTATCTTTGCCACCTTGACACATTTTTAAATGTTCTAAGTTTTCTGTTTATATATTTTTGTTCCTGTATTTTGGATTTTTCCAAATATTTTGCCAGGTAAGATGAATATGAATAAGCTAAATTCAAGTTGAAATAAATGGCAGAATATAAATTAATGTGACTGAATCAAGCTGACTTCATTAACAGGTGAAAATGTCTCTTTACTGTAACATCTGCACGGTGTAACACTGGGTTACTGTTTTTATTCAATAAATCTTCACACATGGTGAATCACATTCTCTGTCTTTCATGATACATCTGTAAAATTCAGATTGAGGACTGAGAGATTCAGACACTAAACATTGAGATGATGCAGTAATTTAGTGTGTGTTTAAAGCAGACATCACACACTCACACTCTGTCTGCTCTCGTCTATTTCATGTCTTTCTGATTATCAGTCTGTTTTCATTCTTCATCTTCATTGGTTACTCCCTCATGTCCTGAATGTGTATTTGGACGGGGATCTGTGTGAGTCTGTGTGTCCAGGACAGTCATCTCTCTGTGGGACACGTGCGGAGTCTATCCCTGTTGTGGATCATCTGACCGCTGCGAGCCGAGGGAGAGAACACTGACAGACACACATGCAGAATGCAGAGGAACACGATTTCAAGGTAACACACACACACTAACCTGGTTAAAAATAAAACATCGAGCAGATCTGTTAACTCAAACTCATTTGTTCTCGACTTTTGCCACATTTTACCCCAGAAAAGGGGGGAAAACATTTTGAATGATGATAACTGATCAGTTTCTGAAAGCTCAGATGATTTTAAAAAACATTATCCGCATATAAATGTATGTCATGATTAGACTGTACATTGTGAGGTATTGAGGACATCAGAGCACATGCTGATCATGTATGAAAAGTTAACTCATGAGGGAAAACTTAGACCAACTTTTAATGTTGGCTTGAAAAACAAAAACAAATCATTATTGGAAATGTATAACTTTTATTTTTTAACGATTATGCTTTATCAGCAAAACAGTTATTAAATCACATATTTTCCCCTGATGTCTAGTTCCTGTGTTGTTTAATTTTCCCATATACTGTGAGTGTGTGTTGTGTATGTCACAGTTACCTTTTAGTCACTGTCTGAACTGGGCCCTCATTAAATTATGGAATAATTGTTAAAAAATAAATATAATAGGCATAATTGAGGACAAAGTATCTAGTATTTGAGTTACATAAAAGCTTTTTATTTGTTTTCTTCCTAATTGTCCTTGAAATAATGACAATTATTTTCGAAGTGCTCCCAAGCACTTGCTGTGTGGTATTCAATACAATATTCCAGTAAATTATCAGCAAAAGTTTAGTTTTTTTTGTTGTTTTTTTAAGTGAACTAATCCGGTTGGATTTTCCCCTAGAAACAAAAGTGAAAGAAGAAGAGAAAATAAGTGATTCTGTTGTGGGGCTTTAAACCCGTTACACTGGATTTTTAAACGGCTGTATATTCTGTGGTAAGTTCTGAACTTATTCTTCTTGTAAACATGTTGTCATATTAAAATGAGCTGCTGTTTGATTTTTTTTTTTTTTTTTTACTTTTCTTCACATGGGATTTCAAATATGGATCAATATTATTTTGACAGTGAAAAGCTCTGACCAAAGGCAAAAACATGTGACTAGAAAGTAAAAATACTTTGGATATTTCCTCAGACCTGTGTTATTTATCATAATATTTAAAAAAATGATAAATGTATAATTGTTTTGTATTAAAATATTTATAGAGGATGTGACATCAAGTTGACATCAAGACTTGTATTGCACTGAACTTCCACTTGAGCTTTCTTAATTATAAGAAAAATAGTCCTAAATGGTACAGATTACAGTTCTTTGTTTTTGAACCCTTCATAAGGTTCCATAAATAACCATGCTTTTTAATGTATGTGTAGTACTTTAATGATGCCATAAAAATATATATTATTTTGTTATTTATATAAATGTTATTTTTTCAATGTCTCAGTCTACCTTGATTTATAAAATGTAGCCTGAATGTGGGTCATGTAAAAAACTGAACACACACGTTAATTGAATATTGAAAATGAATAAAAACACAAAATAGATTTAAATCATGTTTGAAAATAGCCAATTTTCAAATATCTGCACAATCCTATTTTCAATACCCATTTTTATGTGTCAGTATCAGTTCCTCTGAACAAATCATGTGCTTTTAGCATTTTGTTGTCTCGTTCCTCTTTGCAGATATACTTTTTTTCAAAAAAATATCTGAAATCAATCACTCAACTTTTTGAGAAAAGGAAGTGGGAGGACGGTGCCTTTAAAATGAGTTCTCCATCTTCTGGATCTTGCGCCCTGTCTATGAAGAGTGATCAATCAGTGACGAATGATCCTCCTGATTTAATTGATGGAACAGTGACCTCTGACCTGAGGTAAGACTCTGTTTTTGCATTGAGCAGGCATTTTTATTCAAAGTGACTTCCAGAAGCCTGCTGCCAGTGAGTGAGTGACACCTAATGTTAGATTACAGAGAAATAAATCATAAGTTTCCTGAACTTTCACTGTCACTGTCTTCACACAAAAAAATTTCCCTTGGAATTTCCGAGAAGTTTTTTTTGAAATTTTGTTATATATTGGTATTCTTTTTATTTTCTCAAGACAAGAGGAAACATAGTACATTGAAGAGATTTCCCCCAAAATAAAAATTCAGTTCATTATTTACTTACCAATGTGTTGTTTTAATGCCTTATTCCCTTTCTTTCTTTTTCATCCATGATAAGAGAAATGGAATTAAATGTCCATGCATTTAATTTTGGAACTTTGCTACTGCCTCCGTAGGATAGTTTTGGAATTTGTGAATGGCTTTGAATATATCAAAGAGGAATAAATGTATATTTAATGTGCATGCACAGTATAGCTAGTATTCTGAAATGCAGTTTTGTTTGTCTGTTTTCAGTATCACCAGGAAACGGAAATCAGAGTCTCCAATACCCAGCAGTGTGTCTGTGAAGAGTAACAGATCCATTGACCCACCCTATAATTTCAGTGAAGGAACAGAGACCTCTGACCTTACGTTAGTATTTGTAGTTGCTAATTTACTGTATTGTAGTCCAACAGAGTATGACCTGTACTGGGGTGCAGATCAAAAAGGTGCACCAAAATCAATTCTGGTAACTGATATATTTCTAAAGATCTCCAACAGTCATTGTAATTTTGCTGCTTTTTTTCTTTTTAATCTCAGCATGGAAGAGAAACATGAGCTGATCAGATCTGTGTCGTTCTCTACATCCCACTACCAAACCCACATCAGACGGGACAAATCTGAATCAACCTTGAAGACACACACATTGGAGACTGGAGACGTGCAGAGAGTCAAAGACCAGCACAAAACCAGCATGAAGAACAAGTACGAGAGATTATTTGAAGGAACCAAACTCCAAGAGAATGAAACCCTCCTGAACAGGATCTACACACAGCTCTACATCATAGAGGGAGAGAGAGAAGGATCGAATGAAGAACATGAGGTTTTACAGATGGAGAAAACAGCCAGAACACAACACTCACAAGACACTCCGATCCACTGCAATGACATCTTTAAAGCCTCTCCTGAACCAGGACGCCAGGAGAAAGACCAAATCAAGACTGTTCTTACTAAAGGCATCGCTGGAATCGGGAAAACCGTCTCTGTGCAGAAGTTCATTCTGGACTGGGCCGAGGGAAAAGACAATCAGGATGTAGATTTCATGTTTGTGCTTCCATTTCGAGAGCTGAACTTGATCCGAGATCATCAGTACAGTCTTCACAGACTTCTGCTGGACTTTCATCCTGAACTTCAAGATCTGGACTCAAAGATGTATGAGGAGTGTAGAGTTGTGTTCATCTTTGATGGTCTGGATGAAAGCAGAATCACACTGATGTTTTCAGACGCTCAGGAAGTTTCTGATGTGACTGAGACTTCATCAGTGGGTGTGTTGATGTCAAACCTCATTAAAGGAGATCTGCTTCCCTCGGCTCTCATCTGGATCACCTCCAGACCAGCAGCAGCCAATCAGATCCCCACCAAATACATCCACCGTCTGACAGAGATTCAGGGATTCAATGAGCCTCAGAAGGAGGAATATTTCAGGAAGAGAATCAGTGACGAGCATCAAGCCAGCAGAATCGTCTCTCACATCAGAAGAGCAAGAAGCCTCCACATCATGTGCCACATACCCATCTTCTGCTGGATCTCCTCCACTGTGCTTCAGAAGCTCCTGGAAGAAGATCTGAGTGCAGAAATCCCTCAAACTCTGACTGAAATGTACATCCACTTCCTGCTGATTCAGATCAACATGAGGAAACAGAAGTATGAAGAGAGAGATCCAGAGAAACTCCTGCAGTCCAACAGAGAAGTGATTGTGAAACTTGCTGAAGTGGCTTTCCATCAGCTGATGAAGGGCAATGTGATGTTCTATGAGGAGGACCTGATTGAGAGCGGCATAGACGTCACTGACGCCTCAGTGTATTCTGGGATTTGCACTCAGATCTTTAAGGAGGAATGTGTGATTCATCAGAGGAAAGTCTACAGCTTCATTCATCTGAGCGTTCAGGAGTTTCTCGCTGCTTTCTATGCATTTTATCATTATGCTATCGAACTTTTTGACAGGTTGCAATTTTGTGATGTGATGCATAATCTGCACAGGGATGCAACTGATAAAGCTCTTGAGAGTGAGAATGGGCACCTGGATCTGTTCCTGCGGTTCCTGCTGGGCGTCTCACTGGAGTCCAATCAGAGACTCTTACAGGATCTACTGACACACACAGAGAACAGCTCAGAGAGCATCAGGAGAACCACACAGTACATTAAAGAGAAGATCAAAGATGGACATGGACTCTCCACTGAAAGATCCATCAATCTGTTCCTCTGTCTGCTGGAAGTGAAAGATCAGACTCTGTCCAGAGAGATTCAGGAGTTTGTGAAATCAGACAAACACTCAGAGAAGAAACTCTCTCCTGCTCACTGCTCAACAATCGCCTACATGCTTCAGATGTCAGAGGAGGTGCTGGATGAGCTGGACCTCAACAAATACAACACATCAGATGAGGGGAGAAGAAGACTGATACCAGCTGTCATCAACTGCACTAAAGCTCTGTGAGTTATAATTATATCTATTTACCGTATCAAGACTCGTATGGTATTTTAATGTTTTATTTCAGTGCTTTGGTGAGACCATATGGTAAAAACATTTCAAATAATTAATTATGTCCCACAGGCTTGTTGGCTGTTATCTCACTCAGCATTGTGAAACTGTGTTTCTGGCTCTACAATCATCAAACTGTGTCCTGAGAGAGCTGGATCTGAGTAACAATGACTTGGGGAACTCAGGTGTGAAGCTGCTCTCTGATGGACTGAAGAGTTCAGCCTGTCAGTTGGAGATACTGAGGTATTACTTGAAGAATTACTGAGTGATCTAAAGTCTGTTTTCTACTAGAAGTTATATATTTAGATTTCCTCTTTTGTCTGTAGATGATCAGTCTGTTGATGTGTGTCTGTAGATGATCTGACTGTGTGTGTCTGTAGGTTGTCCGGCTGTATGGTGACAGAGGAAGGCTGTGGTTATGTGTGTTCAGCTCTGAGTTCAAACCCCTCACACCTGAGAGAGCTGGATCTGAGCTACAATCACCCTGGAGAATCAGGAGTCAAGCTGCTCTCCGACAAACTGAAGGATCCAAACTATAAACTGGAGATACTGATGTAAGTGGGGCAGTGAGAGAGTTTTTTGATTTTACACTAGATTGCCAATATGTTTAAGCATGCTGATGTATATTTTAACATCACTTAAACCTGCGTGTACTGGGGGGTGACACTAGAGGGCGATGATGAGCCGCAGGGAGTTTCAATACACTATGAAACAAAAACGAATTTCTTATGTTTGTTGAGTTTGCAGAGTTACAGAAATAAAATACCATATGTTCCACCAGAAAATGCTTCAGTGTGTGCAACATTATCTATTAACAAGATTATCTACTAATACCTTAAAGGTGCCCTAGAATGGGGTTATTTTATTTTTTTATTTTTTTATAATGTTTCCTGGGTTGCCCTTATAATGTTAGTATTTTTTAGATCAAAAAAAGTCAGAATTTAGAAATAAAAGGCATTTTTCCTAGTCTGATTTTAGCTTCTGATTTGAACGCTCTGTTTGAAGGGGCGTGCCTGCTGTGGGATTCAGTGTAACCGCCCACTGCTGTGATTGGCTGGCATGCTTGCATATGAAATAGCTACGTATTACATGTGAAACTCTCTCGAATACTTTTACTACAGCTATTATTCATTTTTACTTTTACAGCTATCGAGATTAACGAATCGTGAGATGTTTTTAAAGTATTTCTATTCCCATCACATAACAGTCTGTTGATTGCGAGACTGAAGATCTTATCATTGCATCGCAGTTTCTGCACTCTCAAATGCTTTCACCAATGCAAACACGATGATGTAAATACAGTTAGAGCTTTGTTGTGCAGTGTAACATGTGCCATTGATTTCATAATGAGTTGTCCAGATAAACTCGCGCTGTGTGGAAAGATTGTTCTTTGATCGGTTTCTCTATATAATTTATTCACAATTTAAATAAGGCTTTTTTCATCTTACTAAAAGAAACAATGTGAAGTTATTATTTTAGTCACTGGCTTGACTTACTGATACATAAACAGTATTGAACGATTTTGAGACAAATATTATCTGTCTGAACTTGAACAATTACATATCAGAAATTGTTGCTTGGTAGCTCGATCGATTTATTTTCAGACGTTCATCGAGGCCAGCTCTGTATTGGCCCAAGTTGAGGAAACTGTCCTTAGTGAAATGTTTGGACCATACACAACTTTGGGAAGTTGTGTCGGCACATTTCCAAAAAAAATAAAATTAAGCCATTGTTTCTTCAGAGGCTCTGATGAAGGAACTAAAGAATACTTTTGTGTTCATGTGTACATCGAAACACTAAGCAACTGCTATGCTTCAGCAGCGCAGTTCTGCCTGTCATTGAACATGGGCTGGCATATGCAAATGTTTGGAGGCGTACGTATTAATGATCCCAACTGTTGTGTGTTATTTAACTATGCCAAAATTGCCACGTTTGAACCAGTACATACAGTGCATTATGAGCAATTCACCATGTTGGAAATAGTAAACATGTTGAGAAGTAAATCTGAGAAGTAAATTTTGTAAAAGCTGAGGTGAAGAATGATTTCATTATTATTTTTGATCCATACTGGTGGTTGAGATAGACTACATTTTGTGTGCATATATCTTATAAATGTGAAATTTGTATTTTCTTTTTAGGGGAACAATAGCTTAAATATATTATTAATGCTATTCTTTACTTTAAAAGCCCCCCAAAAAAACATGTGTTAATGGTTTAATTTCCGATTTTCATAATTTTTCCTCAATCTATGTTGCCGCTATCTATTTTACACAATGAGCATTTCTAAAACCATTTCAATTGAACATTAGTTTTCAGTCTATTAAACATTATTTGTTTGTGTGTATGTTTTTTGTTTCTGTTCAGTTTAGATCATGGAGGACATTTCAGGATCACACCAGGACTGAGAAAATGCAAGTCATCAAACACACACACACACACACACACACACACACACACACACACACACACACACACACACACACAGAGAGAGACAGACAAACAAACAAACAAACACACACACACACACACACACACACACACACACCTGTGAATTTATTTAGTGTCATAGATGTTCTGATCTCTCTTGTTGTCTTCAGATGCCTGTGATCTCACACCGGATCTAAACACAGCACACAGTCAACTCACTGTGATTAAGGGGAACAGAGTTGTGGAGCACAACAAAGAGGGGAAACCGTATGCTGATCATCCAGAGAGATTTGAGCACCATGAGCAGGTTCTGTGTGAAGAGAGTCTGACTGGACGCTGTTACTGGGAGGTTGAATTGAGCGGTTCAGTTCATGTAGCAGTGGCATATAAAGGAATCAGCCGGAAAGAAGGGAGTGAGTGTAGGTTTGGACTCAATGACAAGTCCTGGAGTCTCTTCTGCAGTAATAAGGTTTACTCTTTTTGGCACAATAGTAAATGCATTGATATATCTGGTCCTTCAGCCCGCTCTAATAGAGTAGGAGTGTATCTGGACTGGTCTGCTGGCACTCTGTCCTTCTACAGCATCTCTGACACACACACACTCACACTCTTACACACAACCTCTGCCACATTCACTGAACCCCTCTATGCTGGATTTGTAATTTATCCAGATTCTTCTGTGTCTCTGTGTTAGGAACCATACTTTAAACAAAAAAAAAAAAAGATATGGAAAAAAGAAAATTGTAACTTTATTATTTGGAATTGTAACTTTCTTTCTCACATGTGTGACATTTATAGTTGCAATTTCAAAAAATAAAGTTGCAGTTATAGCCCTATTATACACCAGTGCAATGATGAGGCTGCTGGTCTGAAAACGAGGTGTGTGTTCAGACACATTGTTGCGTTTTTTATGGAACTGAAATAGACTAAGCCATTGACCAACTGAAACCTGGTCTGAAGTCAATGGCGCAATATCTTTTTTTGTTATTTAAATAATGCGTTAGTAATAACTATAGGCGGGACAACAACGCACGCGTGTACACTCTGCTTAGAACACAAATAAAAGGATTACAATGTAGAATATTAACATTGTGAACATAAACATATGCACACACAGCTTTAACCTTTCTTTCTAGAGAAGCGTTCAGTCTTACCACTTGCAAATTTCACCATGTAAATAGCGAATCCGCCATGACGCGAGCGCAACTGGGATTTAAAGGGAATGGGAGATGAGACCCTGATTGGTTTATTGCACGTTACACCCAGAACACACCCATTACTCAATAAGAGAATAGGGACAACCCTTTAGACTATGGGCTGCACGCGCCAACCATTTTTCCCGTCGCTAAACTAGCAAAAGTGATTTCGTACACCATAAGTGCACTTGAGCCCTGCGCTTTAGACCATGCGCTTATATCATTAAAATGTCAGATTGTAATATACATTTACTTTGTGAGATACAAAGTCACAGTTACTGTATGAGAAAAAGTTGTAATTATGAGATACAAAGTCAGGAATTTCAAGATTTAAGAATATATTACATTCTTTATTACATTCATATTACATGCTCTGTGTGATACTTGATTCTGCTCTCTTGTTATCGCTCCCACCTCACGTGCTGGAGACGCAGATTTAGACCCGCTCAACAATTGGTCAAGCAGCAAGTTACGTCACAGGAAACACACCCCTGAGCGGTGCGAGACCAGAGATATACGGTTCTTTTCTTGAAAATTGTAGATGTTTTTTACTTTTAATTGTATAAAACTTTCTTTGCTCAGCTTTGATGGTGTAAAATCCTGAAGATCAACTGCCACAGTGTAAACAACAGATTTGTCACATTGTCCATTACTGGGCTAACGAATGAATCAATGGACTATTAAAAATATTTTGTGAAGATTGGCTTCAGAATGGCTATTTCTGATAAATGTTTTGTTTTTTTTACACTCTAAACACTTTTAAACCACTGTTAATTAATATGTGCTAATTTTTTATCCTATTTATAAAGTGGGAAATAACCTTTTCATATTTTTTTTCTGACATCCTAATCTTTGCCACCTCTTCTCTGAAGTTTTCAGGTATCAGGTGTGGTCGGATTCTTGTTGTGTGTGAGTCAGTATTCATCAGGGTCAAAGGTCATGGGCTTTAGAAACACTCTGGGCTCTTTATTTGGTGATTTAATTTAGTGTAACTTTATAAAAGCTACTGTAGATGTCGTCACTGTTTCAGAGGATCCACAGGCTCAGTTTCATCCTACTGGATTGTCACAAACTGTTACTGGAACGTCAGTGTGTTTTCTCCCTGATCAATATATTATGTAGATAAAATAACCTCTGAAATAAATGTCTGTAACAATGAAATGTAAAGCCATTTTGGCTCTTTGTTTTAACACTTGTCTTTATGAAATTATGTTGCTACAACTGTTATTCTTATTGATTATATTTTCCTTGATCTAGTTGTTTTGCTACCTTGACATTTAATGTTGTAATTTTAAATTTGTGTTCTATTTTACATGTTTTATCAAAACATTGTTACCTAAAAATGCAATTAATTTGCTCAAATCTATTTCAAATCTTATTCTACTGAGGATAAATGATGAATATAAATCATTCTGACTTAAGACTCATTATGTTGCAGCGGAGAAAGTAATTTAAGCACCAGATTAGGTGAAAATTACTGATCTAAAAATGAATGTAACAGTAATATGGTCTATCACAATTATGGCTTTCTTTAAGTTTTTGCACATGAGTGAAACAAAGTCACTGTCTGTCACGTTAAATTACATTTGTTTTGTTTTTTAGCCACCACAGAAAGTGCATTAACGTAGATATAATATCTCTATAATTGTGACAATATCTGTCAATTAATCATGCTTCAGTCTCACAGACTTCAACATTGGAACAAACTTGTTTAATGAATTGCTGTAGTTAGAAAGGTTCATATATCACAAAATATGAAACTACAGCCAAAAATAACTGAAACAATCACATTTATTTGATGAGTCACTTTGAAAAAGCACAACTTTTTTTTCATATCACTTTAATGCTTTCCCCAAAATCACAGATATGAACTCCAACACCTTTTAAAAGGTTAAACGATTAACAGAAAGTAGAAAGATACATTCCAGATTAACTATTCCCTGTAACTGTGTACACCCAAAATTACTCACTCATAAGGAAAGGAAATCTCTGCCCACAATAAATCATATAATATGGACTGATTAATCAATCATCAAACACATTCGTTATAGCATAACTCTTAAACATCACCTGTTAACCACTAGTGCCTATATATCCAACAACACCACACTGTGTGAAATAAAAACAACCAGCAAATAAAGCTACTCAGATAATATTATAAATCAGCCATTATACCCAAATATCCTACTGTAAATGTAAAGAAACGCATCAAGTATTTGTACTTGTATTTGTAATTTATTTATTTATTTTTGTCATCGGCATCTCTGTAATAAGGTATATTCACAAAAGCTGACATCGATGCATGTGCCATGACTTCGGCAGTTCAGAGAAGGGTTGTTAACCAAATTAATTGCATGATATGCCAAGTAATAAACAGTTTATTCACACTCATGTCATTCCAACCCTGTATAACTTTAGATTTGATCCTGATCCACCTTTTTTCACTAAATAAGAAAACAAAAACTAAAAAAACTTAATTTTGGCCATAAAGTAAACCAATGATTGTGTTCTATTAAAATTATATTGAATCAATGCTTGAAATTGACAGCTGAGCTTTAAAGATTAAAACCGGTCAGACTTTACTCTCTCTCACGTTTACGTTTAAGAGACTGCACAGGTTTGGCGGCGCCTATTTCAACAAGATTGGGATACTCCCCCTCACTCAGTAGGTAATGGCGATCGGTGTAGTCACGACCCTCATAGAGCTTACAGGCCCCTTTGTTCACTTTACAGGAGCGAACGCCATTCATACCAAACTGGTCCTCCACAGAAGGACAGTCAACTGTGGTGACATGCATTGGCTCCTCAAAACTCTTCTCTTCATAGAGCTGGATCTGAAATGATGTCACTCGTTTTAGAGACTGCACAGGGTTGGTGGCGACCATTGCAGCCAGAGTGGGATACTCCCCCTCTCTCAGTAGGTAATGGGGCTCGGTGTAGTCACGACCCTCATAGAGCTTCCAGACGCCTTTGTTCACTTTACAGGAGCGAACGGCATTCATACCAAACCGGTCCGCCACAGAAAGACAGTCAACTGTGGTGACATGCATTGGCTCCTCAAAACCCTCCTTTTCATAGAGCTGGATCTCAAATGATGTCACTCCTTTTAGAGACTGCGCAGGTTTGGCGCCGCCTATTTCAACAAGATCGCGATACTCCCCCTCACTCAGTAGGTAATGGGGATCGGTGTAGCCACGACCCTCATAGAGCTTCCAGACGCCTTTGTTCACTTTACAGGAGCGAACCTCTTCTATACCGCACAGGTCCAAAGATGGACAGTCCCCTGTGATAAAGCAGTTGTTCCCTTTAAAGTCTTCTTTATTGTAGACCTGAATCACACACTTGAAGGAGAGAGAAAAGAGAGAGGTTGAGATTACCTTGTTTGATTCGACGAGGAAAAAAGGTTTATCAAACTCTACACACACACAAAGAAATCATAAAAAGTTGTTGAAATAGCTTATTAACAACAGGCATCACCAAATTCATTTAATGGTGTGAACAAGTGACATTTATCACTATGAAGAGTAGATACTGCTTCAGTGTTAGTTATAATAATGATAATAATAGTTTATTAAAACACACAGAAACTCAAACGTCTACAACCCACCAAAATAAAAGGTCAAGTGTAACTCTAAAAAATGAGGAAAGAAATTGCATAGTATAAATGAACTATAAAAATCAATAATAATGAAATCTATTAAAACGTTAGTTTTAATAAAGTTTTCATACAAGTTTTAATTCAAACAGTAAACTTCCCCCAAACAATAACTCAATTTTGTTTTTCGAAAACACCATTTCTAAAATTATTTTTGTATTTGTAAAGTGATATAAATGTAACAAATTAATTGTATTATTATTTGTGCCTATAATGTTTTTTTTTGTTTTTTTTAAATGGTGTGAAAATTGTCAGCTGATAAACCCTGCTTCATATATTCATATAACAACTAAGGCTAGATGTAGCTCTTAACTGGCAACGTTAGATTAGAAACAGTAGAAAATCAGTCACCCCAGCTATAAATATCACTGGCTGTTAGTTTTGTGTTGCTTATAATAAGTTGACCTGTTGATAACGCTAAGTCCTTCATAATGCTCTCGATTACATGTACTGTGGAAATTCTGCATGAATGATGAATATATGAACACACACCTCACGCCACCACTTGAAGCACTCCTTAGCGTCCTTCTCCTCCTCATCAGAGTTCTTTGTGTAGTTAACCCTACCAACATATTCAGTGAACTTCTCTGGCATCAGACTGGATACCTGCGATACATGAGGAATAATATTTATCAGTGATTATAGATCTGGGGAACTTGCTTTGACTTGCCTAGATTGACCAGGTTAGTCTTTTTGTAAGTGACTCAGTACATATTTTATTCTTAAATTATTTTAATCTCATATATATATATATATATATATATATATATATATATATATATATATATATATATAGAATGGTGATAAAATGTAAAAAAAAAAAAAAAGTTTGATCTTTAAAGTAAGTGGTGCTAAGCTGTTTTACGACCATCTGAATACCACTTTAACCCATATAAGTGACTGTAAATGCAAGATGGTAATTATGTGCTTAAGCAATTTCTATGTAAGAAAGGGTACATTTAAAACTTATTTTTTTGTTTATTTAAAACATTTTCTTGCACCCATCTCTCCAGGTTAACAGATGGTTTGGCAAATATTTTGTAATTCTAAAACTGTACAAATGGAACTGTACTGCGCTAATTACTTTTACGATGCTAATCGTTTCAGAGGGTCGATCACCACATTTCGATGTCCAATGACTATGAGAGTAATGAAGATAAAGCAGTTGAACTAAATTGTACCTTTTACTCTGAATATTGTTGAACAATAAAATACACTGTGTACATATTCACCATCAAAAGGTATTCAAATGTAAAGAAAATGTACAAATAAAACGTAGGCCTACGCAAAATAATCAACAGAAATAAACAATGAATTGTTTCAACAGATTCAAGGATACAGATGACAGTTGGTCCTGTGATTAGGCAGTGAAACAAAGATTGCAACAGTCCGTGTGGTCTCTACAGTTCTTTAAAGTGTCCAAAAGGCTTTGTGACGTTGATGTTGAGATGCAGTCTCATGCCCTGAAGTATGGTAAATCCTCAGCGACGATAAATTCCAGTGTATAATCTAAGATGTTACTGAATATTTATCTCGCTGATGTATGACTCTCAAACGTGGTTCTACAATAAACAAATAATGTAATCAGCAACATAAACTGTATAGATGTGCAATTAACACGACAGAAATGCTGAAACATTACAGCTCTATATAATGGATGATCACATCTGTCACTATTAACATAATATTTCCCACAATCAGGTAACTGCACTCTCATTTAACATAAAATATAATGTAGCAGCCGTACATAAAGGCAAACAGTGAATAAGTGACCATTAAATAATAATATAAATGTAACTCACAATCTTCAATGACGCACATTCAGGAATCGTCACCATGGAAACTTCAGTGCAAAGTTTAATATCGTCCACTGCCGATCAAGAGCACAAATATCCTATTCTGCAGTTCACAAAGTGAAGGCGCTGCAGAAAGTGATGTTAATCTATCTTATTTCACTGCTTTACAGGTAAGATTGCAGGACCTAAACTTTCCCTCAGGATCCGAACCGAAGAAATATGATCTGCTTTCGCGCGAACTCAGATTAAACCACACCCCCTCATATTCAAATCAATGACCAACATGACAGCTGCACAGCCTTTATAATAAGTGAACAAAAACTGAACATGGGCTTTTTTACAAAAACAATCTATTGATATTAATGAAGATTATATGTAATTCTGCTGACATATGCTAGTTAGTACGAATACCTCATATTTCTCAATCTTGTAGCCTTTAGTACGATTCTGCTTCTTGTAGAAATAGACACTGTTGATGGGGTTTTTACCATTCTTATTATATTCCAGTGGAATTACCTGTGTGAGATTACAAGGTTAGTCACTAAAAACTGATGAAGAAAAATCTAAAGGGTGGAATTTCTGGAGATTCTGAACACAACATACATCAGTGCTGAAATCCTTCTTATCCAAGAACACATTCGGGTGACCTTCGTTCCATTCATCCACTGCTTCATTCCAGTTACGCTAGAGAATTGAGCATTAAAGTCAAACAAATTATCTACATGAGAGTGTATATTATGTATATCATTGTGGTGGAAAGTAACTAATTACAAATACTTTCGTTACAGTACTTCAGTAGATTTTTTCATTTTTTCTACTTTCTTGAATATAATTAAATTGTGGTACTTTTACTCTTACTTGAGTAAAATAAAAATAAAGTATTCAACTTCTCTACATTTATATTTCATAAAAAGTACAGAGTACTTTGACAAAGGTGCCGACCTATTGTTTACAGTCTATGGCAGGTGCCGACGGAGCAACAGCGCAAGCTGACATTTGACAGACACATTTCAAAACCACTGCGGTGGAGCTGCGCTTCAGCCAATAACAGACATATCTGAAGCACTTCAGCCAATAACAGACAGGTCTGTCTCGGGTGCAAAACCAATCAAAACCTCCAGTTCGAGTGGGGGGCGGGGCGTTCAAACCGTGCGTTTTTACATTCAATCACTGGCAGCTGGCGCTCGTGTTTGAATCAGTAGCGCTAACGTTTCAATTTTTCAGTGAATCGTAAGTGAGTATTCTGCTCATATTTAATTAGGCCTATGGCAACTACTGAAATGGGTCACACCATTGATAATACCAGAGCACTGAGCAGTTGAAGTAAATAAAAAAGCTCGGCTCATAACATGGACGCGGTTTGCAATGGACAGAGCAAGAACGTAAGTGTCTAAAATACATGCACACAGTTCAATTGGTAAAGCTCTCCCTGTTTAAGAATACATTTAAACTAAATATACGAAGCAAACTTTGTACAAAGCTGAACAAACAGTGAAATAAGATCGCATGATTAATCTGTAAATCAGATGCATGTAAAAGTGTAGTTCGTTCCTATAGCAACAGTGGGCTCCCAGCACATTTTCGGTTGGCTACAATGAAAAAAAGATCATTTAATTTAACATGTTGATACCCCACTTATTTTTTTTTATTTTTTATTTTTTACTGGGATTTTTTATTCATACTATATATTCGACTGAAAGCAGAAAGTCATATCTTCTAAGATGACTTTGAGGGAGAGTAAATCGTGGGCTAATTTTAATTTTCGGGTGAACTATCCCTTTAAAGTCATACATCATTCTTTTGAAAATACCTGACAGTTCGATAAACTCAGATATATTATAGCTATTATGTGTTTGTCTTCATGTTTCATCAGTCAAAACATAACTATTTGCAAGTTATTATATCCATATAAGGCATTTCCTGAAATGTGTAAGTTTAATACTTCTATGCATCAGTACTGGGCCTTCAGTATGAATGAAACAGATGACATGAGAGTGTTTAGCGCTCCATTTTGCTATCATCTCCCCATTTTGGGTAAAAATAGAAAAATACTAAAGTACTTTGTAATGCAGTTACTTGAGTAGTTTTTATGCAAACTACTTATTTACTCTTACTTGAGTCATATTATATTTCAGTACTTCTACTTGTACTCAAGTAAATTTTTACTTAAGTAGCAATACTTTTACTTAATTACAATTTGTCAGTACTCTTTCCACCACAAATATTATCAAATGAATTTATGAAATGGCAGATCAAATGCAAGGTATAATTTGTTTCATCTATCAACATACCGGAACAGCATGTTATTAGCAAATTGGAGCAAATTGGCCATTAAAAGGACAAGTTCGGTAATTTACAATTGAAGCCCTGTTTTAAGATCGTTTCTGATGATATAGAATGGTTAGGATTGTTCTTTAGACAGATGCTGCTGTCACGAGAATTTTCGGTTTCTGTGTAAGCACCCCCACCCCACACACACACACACCCCTTTATAATGGTAGCATAGGTGCACTGGAACAATCATTCATAAAAACGCATAAAACTTTAGTTTACAAAGACGTGAAACTCACCGAGTGGTCTGAGGTGTTCACTGATATGCTCACACAAAAATCACAGCAAAAGATGCTTTCCAACAGGTTTTATCGTAGTTTTTGTACAACTCCATTGACTTGTATTGTATGTTCTTTAATGTACGGTATTACACTGCTGCCGGAAACGGAAATTGGATTTTTGTATTCTTTCTGTAGTCTTATGCAGTCGTGGTCATAGATATCCACAATAAAGGCTAGATGTCTTACGGCAGAGTTTCTATCGCCATCACCGGCGGCCATCTTGTCACAGGCAAGCTGATGTTAGATGAGTGGTCAGCACGAACACAAATACTCTTATCTTGTTTATATACAAACGGTTTTTGTTCTTACAAACGTTATTAACGTGGCTATAATTCAGAATGATTATTTATTTATACACTTATTATTCATAAGTATGCAGTGTCATAACTCTATGACTCTAACATAGAGTGGTTTGCTAGCATTATCGCCACCAACTGGGCTGGAGTGTCTATTATTCAAGCTCTCAACAGAAGAATGTCCGGCTGTGAGGCGTTCGGAAAAATAGGTCTACAGTTTTATAACGAATGGTAAAACACCTGTTGGAAAGCATCTTTTGCAGCGATTTTTGTCTGAGCATATCAGTGAACACCCCAGACCACTCTGTGAGTTTCACGTCTTTGTAAACTACAGTTTTATGCGTTTTATAAAGGATTGTTCCTGTGCACCTATGCTAGCATTGTAGAGGTGTGGGGGTGCTAACACAGAAACCAAAAATTCTCAGGACAGCAGCATGTGTCTAAAAAACAATCTTAACCATTCTATTTCATCAGAAACAATTTTAAAACAGCGCTTTAATTGTGAAATACTGAACTTTAAGTCAGTTTAATGGAGTGATAATGGAATGAATCAAATTTGCAAATATGACAATGAGCATTTTAAGACTAAAATGTAGAAGGGAAAGTTAACATACATATATATATATATATATATATAAAATAATGGTATGTTTCAGTGTAACTCTGTGAACACTAGAATTTTACTTTAAAAATGGTCTCTTTCTCTTTAGTTGTTCTGGTCTCTTCTCCAGGAAAGACTATCTCTGCTGCTTCATCTTTTGTTATTCTGGTCTCTCCCACACACTTTGGCAGGCGTCTCCTCACAATATCCTCAAGCTCTCTTCTGGCGCCTTTCAGCTTGTCATCAGTGGAGTACAGGATCTCCTCAAAGACGTGATCTGATGGAATGAGAACAATTTTGACTGAACGCTCTGCATATTTAAAATTAAAAACTTTTCAGGTAAAGTTTAAACTTTTCTGGTCAAATGAAAACATGTTTAAATCATAACAATAAACCATCTATGAGTAAGAGTGAGATGGCTTGAACTTCAACTTGAACTTTAAAACTTCTCTTTTTCCCCTTTTGATCTTTAGAATCCTACCAGTGTTTTCAACTTACCTGTCAGTTTAATGAACCTCATCTTTTCATCTGGTGAAGAGGATTCTGAAATCTTAAGTGGGATCTTAAGTGTGTCTTTAGCTTCCAAGATGGCGTTTGCGATTCTAATGAACAAATACAATAAAAAGAGTTTGTAACAGTACATAACTATGATAAACTATAAAAAAAACCCACAAAGATTATAACTGAGTAAAAAGAATAATAACTTGTCTTCAATGATGTTGACGATCTTGTGCTGGTAGGCCTGGAGATACAGGGTGTATAGGGTGTGAAACATGTCATAAACATTATCTGCCACCTATGAGAGACAAAGAATAACACAAACAGTCAAATATTAATATTGATATACATACAGGTTTTCAATTGTCATTCAGAAATATTCTCAAATGTGGTTAAAGTGGAAAATTTTAAACGTTACAAAATTCCTTTTGTAAAAAATTCCAACTAAACCCATTCATCTCTCTTAAAGGTGACTTCAAGCTTTATTATTTTCAATAAAACATCAATGTCTAAAGCTCTGGTAATTCTCAATAATAACTCTTATGACAAATTGGTTTGTAATAGTATTTTGTAGTACATATTTAATAAGTTAACTGCCATAAAACCTAAAATATTGCTACCCTTTTTTTTACAGTAAAGCACTTGCAACGAGCTGCTGTTTTTAGCGTAAACTTTAGTTTAATGCCGTAAAACATAAATGTGTCTACCTTATTTTCTAAGGCAACACTAACCCTAACCTTAAGTGCTGGCAACCACAGCTGCCAGTTTTAAAAAAAGTAAATTTTATTTTGATTATGTAAAACATAAAAATTGATATTGTATATTAAATTGTAAAGTACGGTAAATACAACGATATGTTTTTTTTTGTTGTTGTTGTTTACAGTGTACTTCTAAAGTAATTCCGTGAAATGTGTGAATTATATTGCGCAAACCCAAAGTAATACTACCCACTGGATGAAGAAGGGTTGGCTCTCCACAGAACATAAAATATTCATTTTATTTTATTTTTTTATGTTCACATTTATGAGGAAAAAACAATGTTACGGAGTGTGATTGGCTACATCGCTCAACGCTGAAAACATGTTATAAATAGAAACTCTGGCCAGTAAATCATTTCTATTTTATTTTAGTTGTTCTTGTTGCTTTTCTGCAACAGATGAATAAAATGTATTTGTTTTTAGATGTTTTATTCATAGATATTTATAGTTTGCGGGAGTTCCGCAAATCGTTTTATTCTCCCGCAATCCGCACTCACAGATTGAGCGCATCACCGCCCGCGCTCGCACTCAGCCATCAAAGGATAGTGACGGGAAATATCAGCGGCCCGGGTCGGGTCAAGTTCGGGCTCGGGCAGAGAATCTAAGCAGCTCAACTAAAGCAGAGGCGGCATCTATCTATGTGAACCAAACAATGGTGTAATGATTCAGTTTGACTCCCAAGACAAGATGATGCTCACCCGACTGGCTAATAGGAACGTGGCCCCGCCCCTGACACAATTTTCACAGTGAAAGCAAAATCCTGACTCGAGAGCAAGAAATTGCATTGAGAGCAAAGAAAAGCGTTTTGAGAGAAACACTTTTTTTTTTAGAAAAAATGTTTTCACACTGATAGCACAAATATGTATATTGGAGTTTTTTTTTCTTTCAAAGTATTTTGCGAGTTTTTTTTTCCATCAGAAATAAATTGTAAAAATTTCTATTTTTTATGTTCTATGATAAAATACTTTCTCTCAAAACCTTTTTAGTCTCAACTATTATTATTTTTTTGCTATTGGTATGAAAACTTTTTCTATCAAATGTTTTTCGTATGAATTTTTTTTTTCTCTTAAACATTTTTCTTTCTCTCAGATCATTTATTTTCTCGCATGTAATAAAGACACAATTCGAGCGCCGTACTTCTCCCGCCTGACCGGAAGTTGCACCCACTTTATTTTACAGTAAAACAAACAGGTGGATATGCTTTTTTTCATAAACCCAATAACAAACTTCAACGTGTTTTTTTTTTTAGCCAAAATGTTTGGGAATGTAGCCTTTGCAAATTAAATATTCATTCCTGTTTTAAAGGCAAAGGTTGTTGCTTGTTTTAACATACCTCTTAAAACTGCTTACATATCTTTTCTTTAGAATATTTCTCATCTAATGGTTGACATATGTTTAGCTTAAAATGAGATGAAAAAGTGAATACTCTAGGGATCTTATAAGATCAACAGCCCAGCTTTGGTGGAACATGGACAAATTAAATAATACTCACAGTGTTATCCAACAGGTGGAAAGTGATCATCCATAAATTGAGCAGTGGTAAGTGTATCATTTTTTTAAATTTATTTATTTATTTATTTATTTATTTATTTGATATGGACATAACAACAGCATTGGACAAACCAGATGCATTGTTTTTTAGTGTTATAGCAAAACTGCTAATTTACAACACTTGTCCATGGAAGGCTACACATTTCACAACACACAACACAGTACAATAAACAAAACACAGTAAAAACAGTACACAGGACAATATTTAAAACGGCAAACAATTCACATCATTACCATGTATTTCAAACAGTATTACCATGTGTGCAACTTTGACTAGACCTCAGCCATTGTTTCAGACCTTTGGCAAAGCATAACATGTCCGTTTGCATTTTCATGTACCTTGTCTCTGAAGCAGATGTGATTCGTCTCCTCCACATCACACACTCGAGCAGATTTCAGCATGCGCTCATGGTCAAAACTGTTTGGGATGCCAAGGTAATGACAGTCTCTGAAACCATAAGAGAGGATATAACTGCACACTCTATTGCTTATGGATATCACTGATCTCTGACTTTAGCTGTACAGAAACAAAATTATTTTCCATTTATTTATAATCAATATATTTGATGGTCATATATAAATGTACTGTTGGGATTAAAGTGTTTCTGTTGTGTGAGTTTGAATGTGCTTCATTACAGGAGAAGATCAAGATACATTGAGAATACACAGCAAAATCCCAATTGTTAAATTAACACTGAGGCCCTGTTTACACAAGAACGCTCGCGGGTGAAAACGTAAAAATATTTTATCGGATGTGCCTTTCGTTTACACGGCGACAGCATTTTTGGGGCTTAAAAACGAAAAAAGTGAAACCACCCTCCAGGTTGGAAATCTTTAAAACGCTCCACCGCCACTTTCCTGTCTTAAGGGTAAAAACGCAAAAGTCTGCTTGACCATGAAGGTTGTACGCAGGGCCGTGGACTTGGTGGTGTTGTGTGGAAGTGCTCCACATCGCCACCTAGCCGCCTGGGGTGCACACTACACCCATAACGCTTGTCTAAACTCAGAATAAAAAGTGATAACGCAACGCTACTTTTGCGTTTTCTTTTCAGATTGTTTCCGTGTAAACATGCCCTAAGAGTGTGAATTATATAAACTGAAGCAGTGTTAAAGTTAATGAGATAATTAAGTGAATAATTGAGTGATGATTGAGCATTATTGAAGACACCTGATGATAACAAGCAGAATCTCTGAAGGAGAAAACTGTAATGGTTACGTCACCATTATGGAGATCAGTGTTTGGTTTAGTTGGGCTCTTGACCCTTAAATCATTAACTTTAGATTTTGTTTGGCTGCTGTACATGAGTTATAACAGCCAGATGAAGAAATAGAAAAGGTGATATCATTTGAACTTTATGTTTGTGATTTATACTGTTGGTTACAACAACATACAACTGTGATTCTGCGTAAATATCCAGAATTTTCGATATAATATAATGGATTACTTAAAAGTTGTTTAAAAAATTCTTTCTTTTAGGCACACACAGACCTCAAGATTCAGTCAATGCATCTCAACAATGGTGACGAGCAGAATATTCAATTAGGAAAAATAAATTACATGTGTCTAAAGTCAGTTGTAGGTGTTTTGCTCGTCTCTTTTTCTATTCTCTTCTTTCCTTCAGTGATTCTGCTTGTTAACAGGCTTATTAAGGTTGAGATGACTCCATGTTTAATATACACAGATTTTGTGGCTCAGATAAAGTCCAGTTGTGGTTTATTTCTTTGCTCTTGGCTGACATGTGGCATTGCTATGGCCTGCTTGTGGCCCAGATCTGGCAAACAGGAGTGGGCCACCCAAGGGCTGTCAGTCATTGCTGCATGTGGGCCAGATCCGAACATCTGGGCCGAAACAATGTTGCTATGTGGGATTTTCAATGTGTGAAAAGCAGTAATTTGTTATGTATCATTCAATATATTGTAATATGTTAATAGTATAGAAGGACACTTTATTATTCAGTATATTTACACCGTATTATATATTGATCATAAATATATTTTCTTTCCATTAGGGACACTACCTTAATGTAATGTAAAATTTTAATTCAATTTTTTGATTTAGATGCGTCTAGAAATTTGGTTTCATGTACTTCACATACTTTTGGTCTTATTTAAAAAAAAAATAAATAAACATGTAATTTGTTCACACATCAAACATGTAATTTGTTCAGATTTTTTAAATCACTTGAGTGAGAGTGTGATCTCTCTTCTAAACAATTCTCAATTTACTCAGCATCGTGTGGGTCTATATGAATATATCTCGATTAAACGTTTATTGTGATATCAATAATGACATTTTAACTACCAGTATTAATGCTAATGGATATTCAAGTCCTTCACAATGTGATAATTATGTATAAATAATCAACATAAAAAAGTGGTTACCTTGCTAAATAGTCCCATTTGCGCACATCAATTTCGTTCCTTTCATTTGCCACAATGTCGTACAGGAAATCCTTCTCCTCAGGCCTCCCTGTCTGTGCCCCCAGGAAAAATACAAACAACTTCAGTAATATAACTTGGACCCTCACTGAAATGACATTGAACAGGATTTATTTTACCTTTTGATCTGCAATATCAACCCCCATTAACTTTTTAATAAAGTTGAGATCATTCAGATCACTTATCAGATTTTTTTCCTTTACTATGTCCAGAAACAAAGAATACGACGCCACCTCGTGCTATAGAAAAAATGAAACACACACAAACAGAAATATGTATGAATAGCTACAGAAACAGTACAACACTATAACTCTTAGAAATGACATTTATCTACTCTAATTAGAATGGATTTATCTGTCTGGAAAATTTACTGAAATGCACATCCCAAATAATAATATTAATATAATAACTATTATTATTGCTCCTACTTAGATTTCCAAATACCTTCCAATACTCTGACTCTGCTACAAGGAAAGTGTTTAGTCTGCTCGGACCCTGATGTGGTGGTAAGCACTTTCCATATTAAAGGGTGGATTTTAGTATACACACACACACACTCTCTCTCTCTAAGATTAAATCTCAAAGATCTCAAACAAACGCACCTTTTATAAATGTGGTCCAAGAACTACAACTGAATTAAGCCACAGTCTTGGATGAAATCAACTGAAGAAGACATTAAGGGCCCCATTCTAACTATCAAATCCACATAGAAACATTGTTTTGGCCCAGGTGGGATGCAGATCTGGCCCACATGCAGCATGGAATGACAACAAAAACCACCAAGTAACCGTTTTTCTTTGTTCATCTGGCTGTTGTAACTCAAGTACAGCAGTCAAACAAAGATCAGAAGTTAATCACGTAAGGGTCAAGACCCCAACTAAAGGAAACACTCATCACTGTTATGGTGACTTCAAATGAAACACAGAGTTAAACCTCTGTTAATTCTCAATAAAAACTTAGTAGAAGTCTGACAGAAATAAAGTCAGTCTGGTTAGTAATAAGTGATGCTGGTAATGCTGTTTGTGGAGTTGTTTAATCCTCCTCTGCTGAGATCTTCAGATTTAATGTCTTCTTTATCTAAGACTGTGTTAAAGTCAGTTGTAGTTCTGCTCGTCTCTTTTTCCATTCTCTTCTTTCCTTCAGTGATTCTGTTTGTTAACAGGCTTATTAAGGTTGAGATGACTCCATATTTAATATACACAGATTTTGTGGCTCAGATAAAGTCCAGTTCTAGTTTATTTCTTTGCTCTTGGCTGACATGTGGCATTGCTATGGCCTTCTTGTGGCCCAGATCTGGCAAACAGGAGTGGGCCACCCAAGGGCCGTCATTCATTGCTCCATGTGAGCCAGATCCGCATACCACAAGTGCCAGATGTGGGCCAGATCTGGGCCGAAACAATGTTGCTATAAGGGAGAGAGGAACCGTATATACCTCTCTGCAGTGAGAAGTACATATGGTCCTCTCACTGCTCAGAGGACCATATGTACTCTGAGCAGTGTTGATTTAACGCTGGGGATTTTGCTGTGTTAACACATCCCCAGTGTTAAATCAACACTGCTCAGAGTACATATGGTCCCACTCTACAGACTGTTAAAGGGTTAGTTCATCCAAAAAAGAAAATGCTGTCATTAATGACTCTCATGTCGTTCCAAGCCCGTAAGACCTCCGTTCATCTCCGGAACACAGTTTAAGATATTTTAGGTTTAGTCTGAGAGCTTTCTGTCCCTTCATTGAAAATGTATATATGGTATATTGTCCTTGTCGCGATAGGTTTTTTTTTTTTTTTTGAATCAAAGCACATAATTTGTTACAAAAGAAGGCAAAAAAGGCATTTGGGTTTTCGCCATAAGAAAGTAGAATAATGCACTAATCTTACACCTGAACACATTTGTCATTCATAAATAACTTTCACCTTTCTTGTCACAGATCAGACATATTGAATTTTAATTTTTAAATACATTACGGAACTTTTTTGACAAATTTGTTTCCATTTTTTTTAAAGACAAGGAATCAGCATATGAATCTCAACAATGGTCAAATATAACATGCTTCATGCTGCAATGCATGCTGGGAGCCATGAGTTTTATACTATGGTGCCTCCAAGAATGCCCTGCGGCATAAAGCATGTCACCATTGTTGAGATTCATTTGTGGAATCTTGATGTCTGTGTCTTTATGTTAATTTACCAATAACTGATTTCAGTTTGATGTCTGATATGTAGAGAGAAATTAAAGCTGTTGAAAATAACATTTTAATAACAAATAACTTTCAATCACTGATATAAGTAATGATTTGTTGAATTTTATGATGTTAAAAACTATAGGTCTATCACCTGACCATCTTTGTTTCTAGCTTTATTTGCCACAAATTATGTGTTTTGATAAACGCTGTTATAAAGACCATACACTCACATAAAAAGTCAATAGTCAAACATCTCAACCTCAGTTGATTCTCAGTAAGAACTTCTGGCTCATCTGTGTTCAAAGGGCTTACAGATAGGTCAATTGTATGTTATATATATAAGATAGTTTTGGTGCTTACCTCCCATGTTTCATCTGACAAAAAAAGAAAAGAAAAAAAACTGGAGTTATTGTGTGTGTATATATATATATATATATATATATATATATATATATATATATATATATATATGAAATTCAATGCTGATTTTTTTGCTGATCAGTCAAACTGGTTAATAATCAATGTAATAATGTGTAACTGTTGTAGTTCTTGTGTTTCTCTTTCCTTCAGTGAGTCTGCTTGTTAACAGCAGGTGTTCATCACTAATGCTCAATCATCACTTAATTCTCATTAGCTTCTACACTGCTTCTGTGTTACTTTAACACTCTGGAGTGTCGATACATCTGCACACTGAGCAGTGTTAATTTAACACTGGGGATTTTGCTGTGTAATCATTTTATTTTTTTCAAATAGATTATGGCCAACTGAACACTCGATTGCCTACAAACATTGGAATTAGTAAAGTGAGAACCAATAGCGGTTTTAGGCACGGGCGAACCGGGGCGGCATTTCTTCATGTCACATGGGGGGCGGCACGAGCAGTTAAAAAAAATCCTCTGTGCTGCGAAGGTTTTCTATTTTTTATCATTTCGATTCAATTATTGGCAATGGCGCCCCTGCTGGCTGAGAAGGAGCCGTTCACAGAAGCGATGTCAAGAGGGTCTCCTGATTACGTATCGCGTCTTTTGCGGGCTCGTGGTCGTTATTTCAAATAGGCGCACACACAGGAAGCGCGCTCATTATTCGCTCACGGGAAGCGCGCTCATAAACTTTTCAGCACGTGCACCCAAACACTTGGGTGTTTTTCTCTTCTCCGTAAATAAATCTTTTAGTAGAGCTACAGCAAGGTGGTCTCGCCCTGGGTGTAATTCAAAGTAGAACCGCCATGGGTGAGAACTTACCAGTCGGGACTTGTTGCTTGATCTTGTTCATTGATCTTGTGAACACGTAAGAGAACGGACCATGTCCTTGATGAAAAAAAAAAAAAAAAAAACAATTTGACATTCATCAAATCTTATTTTATGTAAAAAGTATTTAACACATAGTATTTATCATATATGATGTTGATAAGTCTAACAAACTGTCAACATTTCAAATTAAGGCCATGTTTACACAAAGCCGGGTATTTAGAGAAACAAATATTTCCCCTGCCTCTGTTTTTAATGATAACATTGTGCACACACCCGCATAATACGCCGTCGAGCAGCATCATATCTATGCCAAACCTGTGGGTGGCAGTGTAGGGAGAAGGATAAAGCCATGCAAGCCAATCAGAATCCACAGAATCGACAAGAGAGAACCTAAAACCCTGTTTCTCCCAGTTGACACGACAACACATAACCGGCGTTTTCAGAAATCTCCACTTTGGCCAGAGTTTTTAGAAATAATTGTGTGATAAAAACATGATTTTTTTTTGTAAATTAGAAACTAAACCACAGAGAAATATCTGCATTTTCCCTTCGTGTAAACGGGGCCTGAATGGTCTCTCCATTTCTTTAAAGCAGGGATTTGCAAACTCGGTCCAGGAGGGCCAAAGACCTGTAGAGTTTAACTCCAACTCTAATTAAAGGAGAACTCCGGCGAACAATGAACCTTTGGTCTAATAAAACATCGGTACATAGTCAACCGTTCTCTGAGATTTGTTTTCATGATAATCGAATGTAAAGAGTTTTATCTCTAAAAACTGTTTAGCGTATAATGCTAGAAATGGGGGCATTGACTAAGTAAAAAGAAATCGCTAGTTTATACCACTAACAAGGCTCAAAATAGCCCCACACTCACACAGTAATATAATGAGGCTCCATACATGCAAAACGAAGCATTGAGAACTTTGTAAGTGTAAAGACCGTTTAATAAGAAGATACTTTATGAAGACAGTTCACTTCGCGTATACAGACAGGAGCCATCTTAAAAAATAGTCTCGATAAGTCAAACCACGAACGTCGTGCTGAGTGATCTGAACTGTATTAAGTTCAGCGAACTTCTAAACTGTATGAACGGCGTTCGGGGATCGACTTAGAGACTTTTTTTTTAAATGGCTCCTGTCAGGTTGACTAGGTACCGATGTTTTATTAGACCAAAGGTTCATTGTTCGCCGGAGTTCTCCTTTAAGCGCAGAATTTTGGAAACGGGTTTCAAAGTGCAAGTTTTTGATAACGGTCTCTGTGTAAACAACAGAAAGACAAATCTGTGAAGACGATGATGTCATGCATATGCACGTTACATGTTCAGTCTATAGTGTTTCATTGCCATCTAGTGGCCTGGCAGCAGAATACAGTGTTTTTAATCATTTTCGTGGATCCGTGTGAATGCGGATTGTTTTGAAAATGGTGTCAGCCCAAAAAGAAACCTACATTTATTTTGCACTAAAAACTTTATTGATATTTAAAACATATTTAATTCATTAAAATAATATGTATTTTATTTTACCATCATTAAAAAGCACAATATAACACAATATTTATAATTAAATTATTAATTTTCACTTTATTCATTAAAATCCATAATATCAATGTCATATGCTGCAGTTATAATAGTCATTACAATTCAAGTCTTATCATAACTGGTTTAACCTGAAAGTCAAAATGTATATAATATCACTCAATATTACTATTAAATACAATGGTAATGCTGTAAATGAGTCTTAGTTGCCGCGGCCTTCTCTTATAAAATAACCTTTATATCATAGTAAAATCTACAAATCATTCTCAACATAAGTATTGTTTAGCGTAAAACTTGTTGAAGATTAGTGGACAGGCAGTCAATGATAAGTTATTTCCTCATAAAAGTGTTTTATTCAGTGTAGTGAAACGTCTTCTCCATTGGCATCCATTAGAAATAAAAAACTGCTTCTCCTCCCTTCTCTGCGTATCAGCACATCCACAGAGAATATTTAAATACATATATTTTCCACTAAAAGTAGATGTTTCTGGCACTCACCTAAATTATAGCACAGAGCAGCAATTTGGACACACAATATGTCGTTATCCAGTATCTTCTGCTTCTCCAGAAGATTTTTCTGTTTTTCATCCTCCAGCTTCTGTTTTTTATCCTTCTGTTTCTTTTTAAGATCCTTCTGGTTCTTTTCAAGATCCTCCTGGTTCTTTTTAAGATCCTCCTGTTGTTTCTCTTGCAGAACTTTGAGCAGACGTCCTGCTAAATATGCCGCACTGAACAAACAGTCAAAACATAATTTTAAACAAACCACAGGATACATCCAGCTTTTACATTGTTTGATCAATTTAGAATAAATTAGAACAGGGTGAGCAATGTTTTGTGAAAAAAAAATTGGAAAAATATTTTTCTCACAGCAACACCCAAATTAAGTTTAATATTTTATTTCAGTTATTTTACATGGTGCTTTTAAGCGCACAAGAACCATGTAAATACATTTTAAATATAGAAATAAATGACAAAATAGGAGAGATCAAGGGGGAAAAATATTTTAAGAATTAAAACATGGAAGGAGATAGATATATATATATATATATATATATATATATATATGTATATGTATGTATATATATATATATATATATGTATATGTATGTGTATATATATATATATATATATATATATGTATATATATATATATATATATATATATATATATATATATGTATGTGTATATATATATATGTATGTGTATATATATATATATATATATATATATGTATATATATATATATATATATATATATATATATATATATATATATATATATGTGTATATATATATGTATATATATATATATATGTATATATATATATATATATATATATATATATATATATATATACATATATATGTATATATATATATATACCTTTATAGTTCCAAAAATGATCATGTGTATATTCTCCTAATTTGCTTTAAAACTTTATTGCTTCAATTTACTGTACCCAATGGAGTGTTCGAAGCGAGTGTGAGTGGCTCCCGGATACACCAGATATGTTCCTCCCAGTTGTTTGATGTTTCGGAGTCTCTGAAACTGAGGAGTGTCGATGATCTTCACCAGCAGGGGGTGCAGCTCAATCTGACCATGAATCGGGTCCTGGAAAATCTACAGGATACGAAAGAGTAAATTATATGCTGTTCTCAGTTTAGAAGAGGAAAGGAAGTGCATTTGTGAGGTTTCGGACAATATCAGCATTTTTTCATGACTTTCATCAATAAGGACAGCAAAAACTATGAAAACATATTCTATTAAATAATTCATTAATTTAGTACATGGACTAATATAGAGCCATTTCCAAAGCATCTCTAAACTGTGTTCTCATCAATCGGTTAACCTTATAGGCTATTTGTTATGCAATAAAAAAATGTAATTAACAAAAAAGCCACTGTACACTGCCATTATATATATATATATATATATATATATATAGCCTTTATTACATCATCAAGTTGAGTAATACTGTATATATATATATATATATATATATATATATTGCCTTTATGACATCATCAAGATGAGTAATATATATATATACTGTATATATATGCAGAGACACAGATTGTCACTATAATTGCACATGTTAAAACACTGTTTGTTGAGTTTTTAACTGTCTAAAGGATTTAGCATCATGACATGTTTTTGTTGGTGGCTTCTGTCTTTTTAGCAAGGTGTTCATTTTTTATAGCAGTCCAACATATTAATCCTAAACAAATAAAAAATAAATCAGCTTTAATATCTTGGTGCCATTTTAACTTTTACCTTGTGAACAGAAGTTTGATCTTTATCCTCTTCAATAGCAGCAGGAGCAGCGGCACCATGTGTCGATGAACTTGGTTTTTCGCCTGCAAGCGTCATCAATTTTTGTGAGTGAATGCCAATAGGTCTGTGTTATGTTTCAAAATAATTCATTAACAGGCATAAACTTAAGAAGAATCAAATTTTTCAAAGCAAAATGTAATTATTAAATCTAATTTGCAGTATGTGTTTAGGTTTGCTTCCACCTACTGTCACTGGAGTCCTGCAGATCTTTATCCTCCCACACTGCAAACATATAAAAAACACAATAAATATAAATATATGTTTACAGCATTTTCATGCAACATGCCTGATTTAATCCTGGATTCCTGGATTCCAACACACTGAAAATAGTGCAAAAGGATTTTTGATGAGGACAAGTATAGTGCTAAAATATAAAATACAATGAAAATTCACCGATACAGTAACAGGTAATAAACAGAGAGTATATGTTCACTTAGTTTAAAAATTAACTGCAGCAACACGGTGGAACACAATACACAAAACATAGAGCAACATCACCTTTTTGATTAATCAAATATTGTGAACAAACAATCAAACAAAAAAAATCACTGACAGGTCAAGTGCATGTATGTACTTAACACAGAGTGAATGTAATTCAGTAGCGGGAGGGAGAGGGAAAAATAACTTTTTACTCATAAATTAATGAATAACAATGAAAAGTTGCACTAATGTACTGTATACTCTTAAACAGACACACAATATTAAGAAGACGGTGTGTCACTAATGAGATGGGTGTGCCTGTCTCCCACTATAGTTTGTCCAGTCTTGGCGTGATGGATAATAAGCAGACTCTAAGATCATTCTCCACATGGAGACGAGCTCTGTACTTCGTCTTCATTGCAGTCAAAGTTGAGAAAGATGACTCGCAGGGGCATCATTTTCATTTTAGAGGGGGCTAAGCCTAGCCTAGAAATCTAGATGCACCCTAGTGGCAGCAAAAATTATTTTGCATCCAGTGTGGAAAACCCAGATGACTTTTCAAACCCAGATTTTGTAGCCTACATTGAATTATCTCATTAACTCTGATGCTTCAGTGTTACTTTTAACACCCTGCTGGTAGTTTCCACTGTGCTGAAAGTCTTTTAAAAATCAGGAAGTATATTGCCTACAAAAATTACTCGATTGGGACTACAACAAGATACTTCCCGGGTTTTATATGTAACTAACCCATACATTTAAAACCAGGCCTTTATCACATTATACCTGTTTAGGAACATGTATTAACTTTGATTTAATGCATCTGCTAAAATGTGTAAAAAGTAAGTTAAAAAAAAGTATACAACTCAGATGCTATACTAGTACAGATATAAATACATGCTTAGAGTAGCACAATTTAAGTTACCTGAATCAATGAAGTCTTTATTTTTGCACCACTCATGAAAGAAGTCCACAGCTTTCTGCTGGATCTCCCGATTCTTTCGCTCATCGTCCTCAGTTTTTTGCTGGACCTGACTCTCCTTTGGATTGTAATAGACCCTTACAAGCCATTCATGAAACTTCCTTGGCTTGAGACTGGACACCTGTAGGCACACACCAAAAACTACAGCAATCTGACAATCATGAGCTGAAATCTCTTAATAATTAATTTATTTTATTAGTGACTCTAATATTAGTGCTCTAGAGATTCACAATCATGAATAATCATTCTAAATATTTCAGTAACATAATAATTAATATTTATATAATAAATAAATGTTGTACCTGGTACTTCTCCATCTTGAAGGCTTTGTTTTGCTCATTCTTGCTGTAAAAATAAACATTTTCAATGGGCTCATTCCCCACTTCACCAAATCCCATCTCAAGAACCTGAATAAGAAGAGATTTCCAATAGGATAGAAAGATAAATGTGAAAATGAAGAGGTACGAAATAGGCTTTTTTTCATAATTAGATTTCTCCACTTAAACATACATGAATTTCAAAGTCCTTAGCTCTGGACACCAGCTCGGGTTTCTTCAATTCGTCCTCCCAGCATTTCTTCAGATATTTCTGAAGGTTTTGAATTGTAAATGGGCAATTAGACAATTACAATAAATGAAGTCAAATGAAATACACAAAAGTTATTCAGTACACACTCATACTCAAACGTTTGGGGTCAGTAAGATGTTTTTATTTCAAGAAACTAGCACTTTAATTCAGCAAGGACACATTAAATTGATCAAAAAAGACATTTATAATGTAACAAATACTTTCTAATTCAAATAAATGGTGTTCTTTTGAACTTTCTATTAATTCTATTCTTTCTATAAAAGTTAGGATAAACACTCTCTAAAAACATTTAAATGTGACAACATTAGTAGAACATTATCCACTAATATTATAAATTTTAGCGGGAAGTTTCCCAGCAGACACAGGACTGAACCTCTGAAAAGAGTGTGTGTGGAAGTAATAGTTTGGTTTGGTCATTGTGGAGGTCAGTGTTCGCTTTAGTTGGGCTCTTCTTTGGCCTTTACTATTTGATTTTAGTTTTTCTCTGGTTGCTGTTAAGTGTTTGTTATAGCAAGAGACAATGATCAATGTTGTCTATTTACATATAATAAAAATATCAAAATATAGCGACGTGTTATCGTTCAGAAATTAGTCTCTGGTATCAAAATTACATGTTCATAACAATTCAAGATTTGTACAGTATTTTAATCAGAGTATTTTATCTAAACCCACTCACTCGTCGAGACAAACTTAAACCTCAAGAATCAGCGTGTGATCAGCGGGTTATCAACATACATGATACTTACATCATAATCATCAAGTAGCTGACATCATCTGATCATATTTTCTCTTACAGTTTTTGCCACAACCAGCAGTCAGGGAAACTCTAACATTTCAACATGAAGAGTCAAACAGCCCAACTAAAGTAATCACTGATCACCATAATGGTGACATCAACACAATTAATTTAAATAAATCATCAACATCTAAACTTCTGTTAATCTCAATAAAAACTTTTCCACACAAATGACAGAAGTAAATCTGGTTAGTAATGAAGCTGGTAATGCTGTTTGTGGAGTCACAGATAGCATGTAACCATTGCAACAATGTTGAGTCAGTGTTGATGTGTCAACGCTGATTACATTGAAATGACGTTAGAAAGTGATGTTGATTTAGCATCACTCTTGCACCCTCAGTTAGTATTGAAATAATGTTCAGAGTTCAACCACATACCACTACTTCCTTTATATTTTTTTATGAAATAGAGCAAGAAAGCAGTGTGCTTACTCAAAAAAAAAGCGATTGAGTGCACACACTGAGACGACAGAGGTATCTTAGTTAAGGGAATAATATAGTTTAATATGAAAAAAAAAACGGTGGAGTATCCCTTTAAAGTCAAAACATCTCAGAAGTGTCATTGTCACTCATATTGTGGTTATATGGAGAGATCACTGTGAGATCAATGTGTTGAAAATTCTGCTTTGTTATTTGTGTGAATACATAAAACATTGCTGACCCCTAAATTTTGTACTGTATATAAGGCTTTTCTGTATTTAATAGTATGTCTGTGCTATGACTACAAACTAACAAAAGTAGTCTGATAGTACTGACTCATATGTGAGCATCACATAAAAAGATGCACATTTATAGAAACAACAAAAAAACTACAATTTACACCCATACACAGATTAAATGTTGTATAAATACAGGTATGTATGAAGATACCAGTAATTATTTTTTGTATATTTATAGGTGCTTATTAAACCAGATTCATTACAATAAATGTGTACAATGAAAGACTGAGCCATATGAAACTTACCTTATAGACTTTCATCTTGAAAGCTTTAGGCTGGGGTCCAGATCTGTCCCCCTGTTTTTGCCAAAGGATTTTAACAAATGAATCATATAAGCAAACATTACATTAAATGAAGAAGTAAAACAACAATAATACTAATCATCTGAAAATTTGATAATAATCTTGCTCAGCCAGTAACATTGGCCTTCTGCCCTGCTTTGGTCCCTCACTGTCTTAGACTTTTAACGCTGCACTCATGGCCTATTCCTCCTCTCTCGTGTTCTTCCCTTAGGGACTTTTGGTCGTCCGTCAAGAACAGGCTCTTGTATTATCACGGCTACACCAAGATCTCCCTCACAGTCAGCGTTCATTATCCCCAGAGTTCAATCACACTTATCTGCACGCATACACACGCACACAGGGGATATCTCATGTTTTTCCATGGATTTTCCATAGACAATGTTTTTTATACTGTACAAACTATATATTACATCCCCTTACTCTAACCCTTTCAGCATTTTTACATTGTCCACAAAATTTCCCCACAAGAATTTCTGCTATTGCCATCTTTGTGGGGATATTTCATTCGGGTGTCACAAGGAGACACACACACACACAGAGAGAGAGAGAGAGTCTGGCCGGACAGTACTTATCTGGTCCTACTCCTCACCGCACTGACTGCCATTTATACATATGAATGGATAATAGATAAAAGACCATTTATTTTTGAGTGATTGTAACATTATAATCCTGAACCACAAATACCAAATGAGAAATGTAATGACTACCTCAATCTGCTCTCCCAAAAAGGCCAGCAGGTTGTCCTAAAGCATTTAGAAGGAAAGGTGTTATAAAATACAGAAAATAAAATAGTCAGATATGTTTAAGGCTTTTGTTTTAAATAATATATTTATTCAAATATGTCTTCAATAATAAAAAAAGTATATTGTGCAGTGTGCTCTGACTCCAAAATGATAACATGTTATAATATCTGATAAAGCTGACATGACCAGTTCTGGTGAGAATGGTGACTTTCCCCGCTCCCCCATGTTACAGTTTTTTGAGCTGCCAGTCATGTAATCATTTAACTGTTTTACCATTTAATCATAGATTCTATTTGTAATTTTACATCCATTTTTATGTAATTTAAGAAAACAGAAAAATACTGTATGAAAAATACAATCAATTTCTGTAAATAAAAAAAATGTGAATGGCTGGAATTTGTCTTTAATGTAACAATATCAGCTGTATGTACAATATCAGGGTAAGGCTCGCTGAGATACGAGATGATCAATAGACATAAAACTAAACTGTGACTGACATGTGCACCTCACATATATGAGCCAGAGCTTCAAGTGCAGTCTAGCAATAAACTGCCATGATATGCAGGCAACAGAAATCATTATTCCCATAGTATCAGCTAAGGTTTTGAAAGGGAATTTGAATGTATGTACAAATTGAACTCAAAAATCATGAAACTAAAGAGTAAAGATGTTATATCTGACAATTTAAGAGCCAGTGAGGTACCTTTAATTCATCTTCCTTCAGTCGGGCCTCTCCCACAAACTTTGGCAGCTGTCTGTTGAGAACGCGTCCCAGAATGCTTCGGGCTTCAGACAGGAGGTCTGCATGGAAAGAGTCACCTGAATATTTCTATATCTGTCTGCTTGATTCTGGCTGGCTGAATCATTTGTGCTTTAAAGCTGCTGAATCCAGTCAGTCTTATTAATGTTCGAAATGACAGTACTGCTGTTGTTTATAGTCTTGTTGGTTGGTTGCCCTGCAAAAATATATCCTCCACAGCAGTTTGACTTGACATCATGCATTTAAAATGCTCTTGTTTAGTTAAAAAAATGCTAATCAAATATTGAGACATGTCTTAAATTCATGAATAATTTAGGTTGAAATCTGCTAATCTTGTCATTATTTAAGTCAGATAAAATAATGGAGTCAGAGTTTAATTCAAATATAAATGACTCAGTCTGTATTGCTTTGTGGTTTTAGTGCTCTAATATAAAAATTACTTATTGCTTATTGCTTATTGAATGATTAGTTCAAAGAATGATTTGGTCATAGATTCAGTTGACTTCAATGTGTTTTGGTGCAACAAAAATAAAGTTATAATGTTTGGAGAATAATATGACCATAAAATGATGTTTTTTTCAAAATCAAAATAAGAATTAAGCCATAGCTTTAGGAGATTAACATTGTAGGGAAAGTTAGAGAACTCCACTGGGATTACACATGCACAAAGTACATATTGTATATTTACACATATCAAGCAAACATATCAAGAGCCTGACATAATGTAAATGACCAGGTTAGGAAAACTCAGATTAAAATGAGAAGATATGCTACGTCCTCATCATAAGAAATAAATCATAAATTACTTGGGATAAAAAAGTCCACTAAATCCATAAAATTAAAAAAAGTTTAAAAAAATTACCACACAGATGTAAGAAACATAAATGCAGACAGCAGCACTTACCTGAATCAATGCACTCCTCTTTCTTACACCACTTATTAAAGCACTCCTCAGCTTTCTGCTGGACCTTCAGATAATCCTTATTGGGTATATTGTAGTTCACACTAACAAGCCATTTATGAATCTCTGACTTGGATACCTGAAGCAACAAGTGAAAAAAAATATATACTGTATATATCACACAAAAGGTTGAAAAGACTTTCCTAAACGATATAGAATTAGTTTAAATAGTGAAAAGAAAGATGTAGTTTTACTGATCAAACCTACACAAATGTCAAAGTCAGAAGCCCTCAGTTTGTCCTCAATGAGAATTTTCCAGCTTTCACTAAGGATTTTCTAAAGGTTTTAGAAAAAGTAAATCAGTCAAACATCCTGCTAAAAGAAAAAATAGATCAACAAAATATATCTATAGCTTTTTAATATCATTTTTAGTGTTACAATCTAACAAAATATGAATCTGATGAGAAACTTGCATGAAAAGTTACACAGTGATATAAAACAAAACACATGCGGCGTCTATTTCAAATTAGCCTGGATGCCAGCCTGAACCCCGCCCACAACATTTTTTGGCCGGGTTGTTCGGTCTGGAGTCTGGACTCGATCCATTGAGGAGTTTCCTAAACTAGAAAGTTTAGTTCAGAAATGGTCTGGCCAATCAAATTGCCAGGGCGGGCTTTACACGATGATGGACAGATGATCTGCAGTTACGTAATCATCACTTTATTTCCCTCAGAGTTGACTGCAGCTGGAGAATTGAGATGTATAGATTCCGCTGTCGCGTCTGTTTTGAAATAAATCGACAGCGCATTCATTTTAAAAGACGAACAGCAAACTGCAATCAAGGCATTTGTCGATTGGATGGATGTTTGCCGTCCTTCCTACGGGATTCGCCAAAAGTTTAATTTATCAGCCGGCTCTGACGGTCGTTAAGAAGATGAGACGTAATGAAAAGCCTGTGGTCGTTGTGGTTTCTCCTTTGGTCGCACTCATGGAGAAGTAAGTAAAAGAAGCAACACTCATTATTTAACTTCTTCCAGCGTGCGTGCAGTTGAGTTTTGTTGACAACTGTGCTATGCAACTAGTAGCTGACTTACTGAGTTGCTCTGATTAGTTGTAGGTTTATCCAATTGAGTGCAGAGGTTTTTTTTTCTTCCTGGTTTGGTTAAGACACGCCTCATTATCAAAGCCCAATGGAGCAGCATCAGACTTACATTCTGAATAGAATATGAGTATGACAAGCCCTTTCTCATCCCAAGGCGTCATATACGACGCTTTTGCCAAAGCGTAGACATCCAACGCACACGGCACCCTTTAGCGTCAATATAATGTTATATTGACGCTAAAGGGTGCCGTGTGCGTTGGATGTCTATGCTTTGGCAAAAGCGTTGTATATGACGCCTTGGGAAGATAATGTGTTGGTATGACGAAGATAGGCTAATTTCAAATGGTACAATATTATGGTTTTGGTTGAATTTCTGAAGTTCATTACTAGACATCAGTGTATTACCTAACCAGCAAATGTAACAACATTGAAGTTCAAGATAAATCGGGAGGCAACATCAAATCTTATCAAGCATTTTTCAACCGAATTAGAGGTGCAGTACACAGCTAGTATTGACATCTACACAGCAAAATCTCCAATATTAATTTAACTATGGGGAGTCTAGTCTGAGTATGGAGAAATTTTAGAAATATTTGATTTAAATTCAGCAATCTTTTGAGGCTGGTGATTTGTAAACTATGGTATCGGTTTAGTATTGATTCTGAGGTAATAGGATCCGGTCCCATAAAGATACAATTGTGGTATTGAGCAAACCCTAATGGATGATAGATACAATTAAATGCTTTTGTGCTCAAGTGGGTTTGGAAAAAGCTTATAAAATCAATCTTGAGAAATTACTAATGATGAGTATCTATGATGTTTGTGAGAAACAAAGGATTTTTACCTTATACTCTTCAATCTTTTCGTCATCAGACATTACCTCCAAGCTGGTCTCCAGTATTCTCTACAGGATTTAGAAAGAAAAATCATCAGTCACTCAAAAAAATAAAATGATTTTTGTCTAAAATAGACTTCTGTCTAAAACCTAATAAAACACTGATGTGATGATGCTTAAACTTACATGTACAAACACATAAAGGGACACATAACCATAGAAAATGGATAACATAACAATTATGAGCAGCCCTGCATTAGAACTATATGATTAAAAGCGAACTCGCCATTGTTGCTCTGGCAGGCCTGAGTAGAAAGATCAGACAAGTAATAATTCTATAAAGAGGTTATTTCCCAGTTCTCTTTCCTTGTCTCCTTAGATCCCTGTGTCTTCTTCACTGTTTTATCAATAAAATCAGGAAATGCTAAAAATCCTGCTAAAAACCTTTTGGGCTTTAGAAGTACGACACTACAAACACTTTAATACACTTTGTATTCGAGAAGATCTCTGCCAATCAAATTATTGTGAAGATTAATGTAAATACCTCGTTAATACATTAAGATAAAAAAAATGAGGTATTGTATTGGATTTTGTAATAGAAAGCAAGGTAGGCTACCTCAAATGTGTTTTCATTCAATTTGGCCTTTCCAACACACTTTTTCAGACGTGTGTTAGTCTCGTTTAAGATCTGATCAAAGATGTGATCTAAAAGAGAAGTGGAAAAGATATAGATCAGTAGAATATTCGCATAGCACAACCATTTGTACGTATGCAGTAACCACGTATTCAGGTCATGTGACTCAAGCTTACTGTAAATCCATTTTTCAACCAAAACCACTTATTACTTTTGGAGAATAAATATTTCCATAAATTTCTAGCGCTGCCTTTTCTGACCTGTGAGTTCTGTATACTCCAGCATGTCATCTATGGCATGTGAGATCTCCAGCATGTCATCAGCAAGTACAAACGCATCCCTTATCCTAATGTACCGAAAGAAACAAACACACACCTGTGAACAAGGGTAAAATCTGGGGAAATATCACAATGCAAGCAGACCAATTAAACAATTAAATTAGCCTTTTCACACACACACACACACACACACACACACACACACACAAAAGAAATTACTTGACATCGATGATGTAGCCGATCTTGTGTTGAAGGGCCTGACGGTGAAGAGTGTATCGTGTGTGAAACATGCCATAAATGTTCTCTGCCACCTGAGAGAGAAACAAAGATTAACAGGCTAGAACACAGACAAGTGTATATTATTACATAGTGAAAGGTATAGTAAAAATTCCAACAACAGAACAAATTTATTTGCATTCAAGTCAATATTTTTATACAAGAGACAAGGTTAATGATGATTGATTAAAATTAGTGTTTTGACATACAATACATCCCAAGACGTCATATAACTGACGTCTTGTGACCATACGTCAACATCCGCCTTTTTAGGGTACCCTTAAACGTCGGTTAGATGACGTTATCGGATCCTAACCCTACCCCAGACCTAAACCTACCCCGTCACCTAAAGCCCGGAACACACAAAGCAGACGCCAAAGAACTAGCGCTGATGAAAGTCAACTGTGTTGTCCCCTCTCGTCGAGGTAAAAAGCTGCACTTGAACACACCGAGAGAGCTACCGGCGACTGTCAGCTAGAATGTGCGTTCTGCGCCTGCGTTTAATGAGCCAACTGTCTATTTTTGCAGATATATTAGTCTATATTGGTCATTCAAAAAGAAAAACCGATGCTGCCGGCTGCACATACACATAACGTAAACAAAGCAGCGTGTGCTTACCTTTTTGAATATCAATCCTGCTGAACAATTTCTTTATTCCACTCCACTCATGTTAATATTGAAATATTCGCCAAGGAATACTCAGGTAAGAAGACGTAACATAAGAACAGCCTTCTATCTTTACAGTTTTGACTTCTTTGCTTGCTGTTTGGCTTAATTCTCGTGCACTGATTGGCTGTTCAGCTTAGTGAAAGAGTCAGAGTTCTCTCTTTCCCTAACAGCCCGACGCCGATTCAACGCTGACGAGGACTATTTTCAGCCAACGGCACAGAACTGTGCGTATCACACCAAGGAAACTTAGTTGGCCGACGCATAAAATCTGCCAGACGGCCGACCGTCAGCTTGGTGTGTTCCGGGCTTAACCGACGTTAAAGGTAAAGCGTCAGTTGTATGACGGCCCGGGATCGTCATGTAACCGACGTTTAAGGGTACCCTAAAACGGCGGATGTTGACGTATGGTCAAAAGGCGTCCCAAGACGTCAGTTATATGACATCTTGGGATGAGACTGTGTTACCTCAATAGTGTATTTAGCCCTGTAAATGTGGTTAAAAATTAATAAATATTATAAAAATCAGGTATTTGTGGAAATTGCAGTAACTTGCAAGAGACAACTTCTGACTTTGAGCACACAAATGAAACAACCAGAAAACAAGTGGCGCTGACAAGCGTCTTATGTCATCACCTATACAGAACATTTAAAGGGACCATGATCCCTGAACTGTTGTGGAAAAATGCTAAGAACAAAGTGAATTTATCACCGACAATGTATAGAACTACATTTAACACAAAGGTGAATTATGTATGTCACAGTCACTACACGCGTCCCCCCAGAATTCACCGTATCTGAAGAACCAAACTGTCAATGGGGAGGTGGGCGTATCAACCGACCACAACGGCGCTGTACAGAGTTTAAAGAGACCTCACTGCAGCCGGTGTCCCGTCATGACCCGGGTGTGGGGCATGGAGAGTTGGAAGTTTAGGAGCAAGGGGTGGAGGCAGAGCAGGAGGCCGTCTGCTGTGTGGGGGCTGGGCCAGGTCAATGGGCTTGGCCACACCCAAATGAGTTGGTTTGAGGTGGTCGATAGAGTGTCGCCCCAGTTTGCCGCCTCAATCTACCACAAAACGTTTGTCCCCCCTCTCCAGAACCCGGAATGGGCGGACGTCGTGGTCCCCTGTGGGCTTCATGGCGAATAGAAACATAGTCAGCCATCTGAAGTCCAGCAAGGATGTGTGACTGGGGGAGGCCATGAAGGGAAGTAGGGACAGGTATGAAAAGCCTTGCATTATACTGTAGAGTATAGACCACTTGAAAGTAGCAGACCAGGGAACCGTGGCACTTGGGACAAACTCCCCTGGTACCCGCAGTGGCTGTCCATAAAGCTCTGAAGGTCCTCCTTTGGCCCAGTACTGATGCCCAGCATCACCCATGGGAGCATGTTGACCCAGTTGCTGTCTTTGAGGCTGGCACGCAGGGCAGCCTTCATTGACCTAGGAACATTTTCACAGAGTCCATTAGCCTGCGGGTAATATGCGGTCGTGCAGAGGAGTTTCACTCCGAGGCTCTGTGCGACAGCGTCCCACTGCTCAGGTGCGAACTGAGTCAGAGGATCTGTCCGAAGGAGTGCCAAAATGGGCAACCCAGCCCAGGTGCCAATAAATGCCCATGTAATCTCTACAGACACCACTGATGTCAAATGCACAGCTTCGGGCCAGCAGGTGGTCCTGTCAAGTTTCAACCATGGTGATGAGATATGTGAAACCGTGAAAGGAGGGCAGAGGACCGACCAGGTCCACATATTCATGGTCAAATGTCTCTCTGGAACCGGGAACAAACCTAACTGGGGCTTAAAGGAGAACTCCGGCGAACAATGAACCTTTGGTCTAATAAAACATCGGTACCTAGTCAACCGTTCTCTGAGTTTTGTTTTCATGATAATCGAATGTAAAGAGTTTTATCTCTAAAAACTGTTTAGCGTATAATGCTAGTATATGGGGGCATTGACTAAGTAAAAAGAAATCGCTAGTTTATACCACTAACAAGGCTCAAAATAGCCCCACACTAACACAGTAACATAATGAGGGTCCATACATGCAAAACGAAGCATTGAGAACTTTGTAAGTGTACAGACCGTTTAATAAGAAGATACTTTATGAAGACAGTTCACTTCGCGTATACAGACAGGAGCCATCTTAGGAAAACAGTCTCGATAAGTCGATCCCCGAACGTCGTGCTGAGTGATCTGAACTGTATGAAGTTCAACGAACTCTTTACATTCGATTATCATGAAAACAAATCTCAGAGAACGGTTGACTATGTAACAATGTTTTATTAGACCAAAGGTTCATTGTTCGCCGGAGTTCTCCTTTAAGTGTTGCGGTGGACTTTGGCCCGTTGGTACTCAACACAGATGTTAGCCCAACCCCTAACGTACTTTTTGAGGCCGTGCCAAACAAACTTTGTAAATGGAAAATCTGTACAGCAAAAGGCCAAGCAGTACATGCATTTGTTTGTTTCTACCATTTATTTGTAATGATTTACACAGTTTGCATTTTATCATTTAGACATTAATCCATGATTGCCACCACCATATGACGTCATAATATGCAAATAATTGAGAATAATTAAGTGAATAATTGAGTGATCGAGCATTATTGAAGACACCTGACGATAACAAGCAGAATCACTGAAGGAGAAAACCGTAATTTAAAAATAGCCATTATGGAGATCAGTGTTTGCTTTAGTTGGACTCTTGACCCTCATTAACTTTAGATTTTGTTTTATTGCTGTATGTGAGTTATAACAGCCAGATGAACTAAGAAAAGGTGATATGTTGGTTGTGTTTTAACATTAAAACTAGTCCACTGAAACTACTCAATTTTTAATATGCACAGATTTTGTGGATTTGATAAGGTCCAGTTCTGGTTTATTTCTTTACTCTTGGTAAGTAAATGTCCTTCTCAGTAGAATGTTTTGTTCCAATCACCTGGATTTGAGAGAACTAATTAGTGAAATCAGCTGACGGAGTTTATGGGTGGAATAAACACATGGCAGGACTTTTACTCTTTGGCCCCTGGATTACCCACCTCTGTCATCGATATGTGAATATCCCAGTTAATACAGTATATTACAGTCTTGCTCTCTTGGTGAAGAACCAAAACAAAACAAAAAAATCATACAAACATCAGTAATGAAATGTGATTTATCAGGTACCTTGTCTCTGAAGCAGATGTGCTTCCTCTTGTTCACTTCACACACTTCACACACTCGAGCAGATTTCAGTAGACGCTCATGGTCAAAGGCTGTTGGAATGCCAAGATAATGACAATCCCTGTACATTGGAGAAAAAAAAAACAAATGCAAATAGTTGGTGGAGCACTAAAGTATTTACAGTTGGCCATATTTAAGGTTGTTCTTTATAGTTCTTATCTTGAAGTGTTCTGTCTTAGCCTGGCAGCTTTAGTCAGTAAGGTCAAGCCGCTGGGTAACATTTAATTTAGTAAAATCCAATATGGCAAACATTCTATATACAACAAACTCACAAGGAATCTCCAATGAGTCAGCATTTTTACTATAAAGACTGCCAAAGCAGCAAGGGCATATGATTATAATACTATTTATACAGCTTACCGAGCCAGATAGTCCCATTTGTCCACATCAATGCCATTCAGTTTGTTTGCAACAATCTCATAGAGAAAAGACTTGTCTTCATCTCTGCCCTTCATTGACCACTGCAAGATGTAAAATATTTTCAACCTGAACACTGTATCCTGATGAACACTGACTGAAATGCCACCTTTAACCCATTTTTACCTCTTCCTCATTTTGCCCTTTCAGAATTAATTCCTCAATAAATTTGATGTCTTCAACCAAATTCAGTCCATATTGTTCCATCTCTTTGTCCAGTCCATTCTTCTTTCTCATGCAGTTAAACATGCCGACAGAGGCGTTCTCGTGCTTCAGAAGATGAACATAAATGCATATCAAGATGCAATTAAAGTGAACATATAAACTAAATAACTATGCTTAGAAGTCTTTATTCTAATGTCCTTTTTCTTACAATATTACCCAAATGAACCATCAAGGGACAATAATAGCCTTATAATGATTTAAAAACAAATTTGCAAAAAATATTTTAATGTTTCGTATAGTCAATCATAATATAGACACAGCCACTTTTACTCATTAAGAGATTTATTCATGAGGAAATAATTTGATTTTACAGTAGACATGATACTGGAGCTCACATACTTTGTGTATCAGCATATATATATTGCTGTAGATACTTACCTCCCAAGTGGAATCTGAAAAATAAGAAGAGATTTTAGGTAAGGCAGGTTTAATAAAGTACTTACGTACACCAACTCATTTAGTGAAGATGGTTTGACTGTCTCAGTCTCTCCCCAGCTAACAATATTTTGTTATAAGAACATTCTCTAAATATTCAGTGTTGGTTCTGGGAACACGAAAAATATCCAGTTTTCTGGATATTTTTCTGGATATAATGTTCTCGATATTTCTCAATATCCAGAACATTATACCTTTTAAAACACGTTCCTCTGTGTTTTAAAAGGTATGATGTTCCTCAAATGTTTTTTAAACGTAATTTTCTATTAAAAAATTCAACATGATAGTAATGTTGATTTCTAGCATTCCAAGAACATAAAAATGTCCAGTTTCCTGAATGTTATGAGAGCATTCTTGCTTTAACACATCACATTACAGGAACATTTTATAAAATACATTCCATCATCTCAGGCCTCTTTGATATCCTCAAAACATTTAGCGAACGTTGATTTGATAATGTTCCTCCTTTGTTATTATGGATCAACAACTTTCTCAAAACATCCTCAATGTTACAGTTATATCTAGTTTACATTTAACCTTATAGAAACATTATTTGAAATGAGAAAACATCTTTAAAACATTATCTGAACATTTCTTTAAAACATTAACCAAATAGGCAATGTTAGCCAATGTTCTGAGAACGTTCCCTGCTAGCTGGGGAAATGACTGAAGTGAAAAAACTCAGAAACTCACTAGGCTTTACAACAGGAATGAACATGCCATCAAACAAATGAGAGAATGGACCATGACCTGAAACGACAATAAGGCAAATACTTTTCAATTTTACCTTTTATGATTTTTTTCCTTTTTTTTCATATGTTGACTATGAGACTATATGAGAAATTATACTTAGTTTTGGAGTGTATTTGGGATGTTTAAAAAACTTTAATGTTGGAAACTTCTCTCAAACTAATAAGATAACTCTTTTCTGAGTAAATATTCACATGTTAGTAATACTCACCCATATCATGACACAGAGCGGCGATCTGAACACACAGGAAATCTTGTTTGGTAATGTTGAGTTCAGGCTGATTCTCATCAAGATGTCTGAGAAGACATCCTGCTAAATACGCCACACTAACACCCACACACACACACACACACACACACACACACACACACACACACACACACACACACACACACTAAAGTCATTCTGTTTAAAACAATGCAAAGGTTAAGACTCAAAAAAAAAAAAAATTACCCAATGGAGTGTTCGAAGCGAGTGTGAGTGGCTCCCGGATACACCAGATATTTTGTTCCCAGTTGTTTGATGTTTCGGAGTCTCTGAAACTGAGGAGTGTCAACGATCTTCACCAGCAGGGGGTGCAGCTCAATCTGACCATGAATCGGGTCGTTGAAAATCTTCAGGATAGGAAATCTTATTATTTATTTGTTTGTTTGTTTATTTATTTATTTATTCATTCATTTATGTATTTTTTAAAACTGACCTAAAGAAAATGTGCATAAAATATTTTAATAAATCGTTAGCCTACTGATTGGAATTACTGTTTAAAATATTTATCTTGAAACAGAATGGCTTTAAAGGAGAACTCCGGTGAACAATGAACCTTTGGTCTAATAAAACATTGGTACCTAATCAATCGTTCTCTGACATTTGTTTTCATAATAATCGATTGTAAAGAGTTTTATCTCTAAAAACTGTTTAGCGTATAATGCTAGTAATGGGGGCATTGACTAAGTAAAAATAAATCTTTAGTTTATACCACTAACAAGGCTCAAAATAGCCCCACACTAACGCAGTAACATAATGAGGGTCCATACATGCAAACGAAGCATTGAGAACTTTGTAAGTGTACAGACCGTTTAATAAGAAGATACTTTATGAAGACAGTTCACTTCGCGTATACAGACAGCAGCCATCTTTGGAAATAGTCTCGATAAGTCGATCCCCGAACGCCGTTCATACAGTTCAGAAGTTCGTTGAACTTCATACAGTTCAGATCACTCAGCACGACGTTCAGGGATCGACTTATCGAGACTATTTCCTAAGATGGCTCCTGTCTGTATACCTGAAGTGAACTGTCTTCATAAAGTATCTTCTTATTAAACGGTCCGTACACTTACAAAGTTCTCAATGCTTCGTTTTGCATGTATGGACCCTCATTATGTTATTGTGTTAGTGTGGGGCTATTTTGAGCCTTGTTAGTGGTATAAACTAGCGATTTATTCTACTTAGTCAATGCCCCCATTACTAGCATTATACGCTTATACGTTTTTAGAGATAAAACTCTTTACATTCGATTATCATGAAAACAAAACTCAGAGAACGATTGACTAGGTACCGATGTTTTATTAGACCAAAGGTTCATTGTTCGCCGGAGTTCTCCTTTAAATTTTAAATAACTACAATACATAGCTATTTATTATTTAAAATAATTTAGGAGAAATATTAATTGTTGCACAATTGATCATTATTTGCATTGGTCATATTGTACGCTAGTGTTAAAATTAGCTATCAAATATGTGCATGTGTGATTGATTCAGCCCATGACATCAATATCACTCCACCAGGAATCCCTGCAGTTAGTTAAACAACACATATTCATATTCATATGACTGTAATGACAGTTAGGCTCCAGTATATCAGGAAACGTTCTCCTCTCATAGACATGCATCACTTGCCTTCATGATGTCCTTTGAAAAGTCAAGGGAGTATTTCTGTGTGATCTTTTGCAAATCCTCAATGATTTGTGTCTTTCTTTTCTCTGCGGAGAGACATTTTGTCTTTTAGAAATACTTTCATAGAAATATTTAGTGTCGGCTAAAAAAGCAGTAGCCTTAACAATAAGCAAATATTAGTGAGGGTTCATAAGTGATAGTTTTCAAAAATCTTAGAATGGCAGAAAAAGGTTTGCATATGTTCATTTACATAAACTGAGAACAAATTTTAAGCAGATCCATTTTCTTAAGTTAAGTCTAAATCTTGGAATAATTTATTCAAATGTATGAAAAATATAACTGACTCTTGTCCCTCCATCATAAATTAATTTGTCTCTAAGTGTCAGACAAAACACAATAAACAGGGAATTAAACCAAATTATTCCACAGACTTTGACTCAGGTTTCAGAAACACCACACAACATTTGAGATGATGCGATGCCATTGGTCCACCAATCAGATGCATCACTGTGGGATTGTTTAGGATTGTGGGTAATGAAGTACTTATCCAATACATCGCGAATAAAAGGCATTTATCTTAAAACAAGGTTAGTGCCCCATGAACTTTTGGCATTTAAATGAGCATATACAATCGCTTAGTACAGCCATAGCTGGTTACCAATGGTTACGTTTTTATGGCTTATATCCCAAATCAATGGAGAAATTATATTGAATTTTTACTTCCGGCACCGGCTGTGTGCGGGACTGTGATGCTCTGTAGGCTTTATGCATGATCGCTTCCGCGTTTTGTCTCAATCCACCCAGTTACTGCGTCAGAAGCTGGTTTTGCATTACGTGGAGATAATGGCAAATTACACTCGCTGTTTACAAAAACTTCCTGCGGTTAACGTGAATGATGTTAACAACACTGTGAGGCAGTTAGCTGTCACACATAAGAGTAAAAAAGAGAAGGGCTTTAAATTATATATTTCGAGCTACATCAACAACTTGGAGGGTGAGTATTCTCTTATAACGAATCAGTTTTTAGAATCGTTGTATCCGTTTTTTGAGAAAATGAATTTTATTAAAGTTTTGCCACTATACACTTTGCCTGCGGAACGCACTATACGGAAGTAAAGAAGCTGGCTGAGATCCTACCGGACTTCCGTTAGCAGGGTTCGTGCATAGAGCCCATTGCGCAATAAAAAAAAAATTGATGCACAGAGGAGAACTATTCACATAAACACGCTACCATTTGGTTGTGCTTGTGATTTGTAAAGTTATTTAGTAGGGGAAGAATGTACACATGTTTGAAGAACCACTGACCTAGGAGAAAAATTCTGTGCTTACTTCCAAAACTGTTTGGTTACAAACATTCTTTAAAGTATCTTTCTTTGCGTTTATCGGAATAAAGACATTTATAGAGGTTTGGAACAACTTGAGGGTGAGATGACAGAATATTCATTACTGGATGAACTAATGGGACAAAAACATTTACTAGTCTTAAAATTGGGTTGTGAATCGAAACCTCGCAATCCATATTTATAATTGAATAGGTAATGTTATGTTTTGTTAAAATGTAATTTGTAAAAAAATAAATAAACAAGTGTAAATTTCATCAAATGAAAACATTACCTTTATTTTTCTTGTAAATCATCTTTACGTCACAAAGAGTGTCACAAAGAACATCTGCTGCATCTTCAGACATGTTCACTTCTTTGTCGTCGTCTTCTTCGTCGTTGCAAAAGAGGATGATGATAATGAGCATCTAAAGAACTGCGTAGAGATTTTATAGATTCACAGACTCAACCCACTTCACTACAGCATGCCATCAGGAAGCTTAGACAAATGTAGGGGTGTGTCATAAAGAATTGATCATGTGCTTAAGATATTTGAGTAAAGGTAATTAAGCTTGTGGCTCACCTTTCTATGCATGCTTTTCCTCATAAACTTATGCTACAGAGACCATAATGTGAATTCATAATGTTGTGATCAGAATATTTCTCGTTTTAAAGGTTAAATCTCAATTACTAAAAAAAAAAATTCCACAATGTACAGCAAAAAAACAAAAAGGGCAAGAGAGAAACGTTAACAAGCTCAGAGTTTTTACCCAAAAAGTGAATTTTTTTATATAGGATCAACCACAATTATCCTATTTGCTGGTGTTGATTCTCTAGTGTGTAAGGGTCAGGTATTTGCACAAAATATTGTAAATACTTTCACTTTGAGTACTTTGTGAACACCTAAATGATGTGTTGCACTGAGCTTTTCCACTGACAGAAATAAAGTCAGTCTGGTTAGTAATAAGAGAAGCTGGTAATGCTGTTTGTTGAGTTGTTTAATGACGTTCGACATCATGACATCCGATGTTTAAAAGTTAACCCAATTTTCATTTTCAACCAAAATATGACATGTGAGTGACGTTGGAGTCCATGTCCAATAACATTTCTAGCTGGAGTGATTCACATTGTGGCCATAATATGAGCACACAGTGAGTGCGCTGTGCGGTTTCACTTTTAGCTCACTGTGCAAAAGAGACTCAAAATACTCTGATCTTACAATTGTTATACATCATTCAATCCTGTTAAGTGTCTGTTTTTTTGTGTACACTCACCATAAATACAAAGTGTTGTGCTTTTTGCTTAATAAAGAAAAATAAAACAGGATGTGAGTTCTGCCTTCTCTCTGTCAGTGAAGTTCATTCTGAAAATGAACTGTATGAACTGAGCGATCGTTTCACTTGATAAGACCCTTATTCATTGTCTGGTGTCGTTTAAACCCCTTTGAACAGTTTGCACTTTTGAACCTTGAACCGTTTTGTTCCCACTGAAGTCCATTAAATGGAGAAAATCCTATAATGTTTTCACCAAAACCCTTAATTTCTTTTCGACTGTAGAAAGAAAGACATGGACATCTTGGATGACATGGGGGTGAGTAAATTACATTTAAAGATTAATTTTTTTAAAAAAATAAATGAAGGAGAGTGAACTACTCCTTTAAAGGAGAGTGAACTACTCCTTTAGTCAAAAACATTGTGGACACATATTTTTTTATGTTTTTTGTGGCCTTATTTCAGAAACTTTCATTTTTAGTTTTTTCAATAATCATGCATAAACAGTATTCTCTCAAAATTACAAATATATACATACCTGTTGCTCTCATATTATGGTAGCCCTGTTTGTGTTTAAAGCAAAAATGTCAGGGCATGTCAGAACATCTCAAAGACCCCAAAAAACACCTTAGACCCCAGAGGGTTAATGAATGCCATTTCATATATAACAAAAATCTTTATAGTCAAATATTAATGAAGCATCAGAATTGATCAGTTTGAATATATCCTAATATTGCTAAATCAGAAATTGATTTATTAAACTGCAAAAGACACATATATAATACACAATTAAATGTACTTAAATCCCATTTAAGCCCTAATCTGGAAATTTTTAAAATATATATATATATATATATATATTTTTTTCTTTTTTTTTTTTACAGTGATTTTATTAGTATCGTATTTATTATTAGTAGTATTTATTAGTATAATGCAACTTCTGGTTTATACAGATCAGGTTTTTAAAATATAAATAAATATTTTGAATTAACTAATAATTTCATACTAATTAACCCTCGACTGCATAATTTTCGATTTTATAAATTTTGATAATAAAACCTTACCTTTACTTTGCTCATACAACTTTTTTACATAAAGAATTGTATCTCTGTATTTTGAGTTGTCAGGTCCAGATATCTTCTCTTTTTCTCAACGATCTGCTGTCATCTTGCTCATGTGTCGAGGAGGACGGTAATGAAGATTTTCCACTAGACTATGTTATCGTGTATCATCCCTATTCTCATGCTGATTCTGCAGTTATAGTTACATATACAACAGGGACATCACTGTACGTTTTGTCCACAGAGGTCTAAAACAGAATCGTGTGTTGTCTCTTGCCATATGTAAAAGGTGTTTGTGTTCTTAGATCAGTTTTAAAAGGAAATGTTTTGCTTTCTAGTGACAAGAGGAATTTTTAAATTTTATCAGTGAAACATTCGCCATAGGAACATTGTGACTGCCCAGACCTGACACCCGTGGAAAGATGATCTGCCACATGCAGCAATGAATGACGGCCCTTGGGTGGCTCACTCCTGTTTGCCAGATCTGGGCCACAAGCAGACCATAGCAATGCCACATGTCAGCCAAGAGCAAAGAAATAAACCACAACTGGACTTTATCTGAGCCACAAAATCTGTGTATATTAAACATGGAGTCATCTCAACCTTAATAAGGAAAGAAGAGAACAGAAAAAGAGATGAGCAGAAACACAAGAACTACAACCAACTTCTGTTCTCTTCTTTCCTTCAGTGAGGCCGGCAAGTTTCAATCCCTCAAGAAGCCTATGGACTAGTATGGAGGAGTGATCCAGCTCTCAGATTTCATCAAAAATATCTTAATTTGTGTTCCGAAGATGAACGAAGGTCTTATGGGGTTGGAACAACATGAAGGTGAGTAAATACTGACAGAATTTTCATTTTTGGGTGAACTACCCCTTTAAGGCTGAGATAACCCCGTATTTAAAGGAGTCATATGTAATATTGTGGCCAAAACTGGTACTGCAATCACTTTTCAATGTTGCAACACTACTGACTTTGTGATTGGTAGATCGGTGGAGGGTGGAGCATCAGACCAAAACACAACATGACAACATTTAAATGACAATATCCTGGCAGGACTGCTGTTATCAGTGATATAAGTATTTGAAATGAGCATGATTTCTTAATGTCTAGTGACATATCAGGGTCATTTTAGGATTAATTGAAATAAATTTCTTACATACAGCTTTAATATGCACAGATTTTGTGGTTTAGATAAAGTCCAGCTCTGGTTTATTTCAGAGTCGCCCAAGAGCCGTCATTCCACACTGCATGTGGCAGATCATCTTTGTTTTTGTTTTTTTGTTGTTGTTTCTTTTTTTTTTTTTGGGGGGGGGGGGGTGTTTAGTTTTTTGGCGGGGTCAAAATGTTTTTGTGCTAGTCACAGAGAATATATGTCAATAATTCAGCTGTCTATTGGGAATCCAATGATGTACACCAGATCTGAAAGCACTTCTCAGCCTCTTCCACCTTCTTCTTGTCCTTCATCTTATCTTCATCTGTCTGATCATCAGTTCTTCTGTAATAAACTCTGACAAGCTCTTCATTAAACTTCTCTGGCAGGAAACTGGACAGCTGTCAATACAAGACAAAAATCACACATACTGAGTTTTATAAAGATACTCAATCATGGGCTCAGTGAAGTTTACAATGTACTTCATTTACTCTAACAAGACAAAGTTCAAGCCCCAGTCTGATTGGTTTACCTAAATAACATTTATAAAGGAATATATGGCACTCATTTAGAAATATTCATCAATGATCAGGAATAAAACAGTTTGAGTGTCACGAATACCTGATAATCTTTAATGGTTGAAGCTTTGGTGGGATTCCTCTTGCTGTAGAAATAGACGGATTCAATGGGGTTTTTGTCCTTCATGCCGTGATCCAGATCAACCACCTGAGTAAGAGATGCAATTATTTGTTTTTGAAGGTATGAAGGCAGAGAGGTTAAGAGGAGGAGTGAAATCTCTAAACAGTTGAGTAAAAGCGATTAAGATGCATGGTTTGCTCTGAAATGAAACAATCTAGTTAACACTGAATAACTACATAACTTACATAAACTGGTAATTCTTCAGCTTTCAGGAACACAGTCGGGTCAGTGGGTCTGTGCTTCTGCACTGCAGCTTCCCATGATTCTGTCAGCTGTTCCTGAAATTTTAGATTTAAGAGGGTTAATCAAGTACGGTACAGTAAATACTATCTTGATAAAGTCGTGTGGTCATTAAATATGTCCAATATCAGTCACTAAACCAATGTTTTTCTTTTCTGACCTTTGACATGTTTTCCTCAGTCAGACGAGCTTCTCCCACAAACTTTGGCAGTTTTCTCCTGGAGATCTTGTCCAGGATGTTTCTGGATTCCTGCAGGTTTTCAGCAGTGGAGGACGAGATCTGCTCAAAGATCTCATCTGACAGAAGACTCATTATTTTAGATAGAATAGTGTAAAGAAGGATGAAATCATTGTGTGGCTGATTTATCTGAAGTGCAAACTTATTATCTGAAATTATTTGTTTCAATCCTTTTGAGTATAAGTTCCCAAAACCCGACGCGCCACTCGTATTTTAGCAGCAGACTCACAGACTCAGAGAAAAGTGGGTAATATTTTTTTAAATTTCAGCTGACCTGTGAGTTTGCTGTATTCCTCTGCTGTCTTTATGGCTTCAGAAATCTTCAGCATATCTCCAGGTTTCCCCTCATGAAGATCACGATCAGCTGATACGAGCGCTTCTGCAAACCTAACAAATAGAAAACATATGAGTTAGTGTAGGAACTGTAAAAAAAATGTGTTCAATTTACAGTAAAATACCGGCAGCTGTGGTTGCCAGAAATTTACTGTATAAAATACGGTAGCAAGAGTTTATGGTAATAAGGTTTTACAGGCTTAACTTAAAAGTTATGGAAATAAACCGTATTTAGTTATCTGATATACTGCTTAATTATCGACCATTTGAAGTGTTAATATCTCTTTTATACCATTGTAATATACTGACATCCATCAATCACAGCAGTAATAAGAGTCACATGATATATCATGGTAACACACATGAAATTTTAAAAAGGCAATAAACTTTCATTTAACAACATTAAATGTCACATAAAACCCTAATGTACCTAACTGATTAGAAAAAGACTAAGCAAACTATGAAGAAACAAGTTATTTCAACAAAAATACATCAAGTGTGGAGTGTCACGCAGGGAATTGTGGGAATGTCAATTTACGTTTTTTCACTGTAAATTATACGATGAGTTGTTCATTTTCACTTTAAAAACTGTAAATTTAACTGTATTTTACAATAAAATTACATGAAATTTACCATAAGATCTATAACAGTTATTTACCGTATATAGCAAGGAAAGGTTCCGTTAACCAATTAACAGTTTTTCACTGTAGCATTTTTAATGTTAAAATCACGATAATTTTTTAAGTTCAAAGTGCCTAATCAAATTGAACATAGTGAGTCCAAACTAAAACATTTGAGGATAATCAACATCGATTTATAAGTCAGCTTATGTGATGTTTTCTATTGACAATTCAAGATGACTTTGAGAAATTAGTGAATGTAACACAGTAAATTTCCACTGTAAACTCACGTTTACATTTGAAATGAGGTCTGGCTATGAAATGCAACGAGAGATCAGGGCTTTTTCTGTACCTCAGATGAGCCTGTGAATGCGGAGTCGCCGAGACTCAGCGTTCATGTATTTCATAATGTCGGGTAAAGGATTTTCCTCTTTGTTCTAGAACATTTGATGGTTTGCATTGATTATCTTTCAATTGATCATGAAATTGTAATGATACACTTACCTGACACAATAAATTGTTATATTTGATTAATGAAAACAAAGTCAAAGCCTGTTAAAATAGAGTTAAAAGGAATAGTCAAACATTCACACAGATTTAATGATGCACAGATATCACAAATGAGTTAATACAATGCATTGCATTTAACTAAAATCCCTTCGCCAAGAGAAAAGACAGAACACGCGTGAAACCTTCACCTCTAATCGAATACCGCCATTGGATCAAATTAGACGGCCTTACATTCTGTTTCAATCCTTCAAGTTGCTGTAATATTTGAGTGCAGTGCACTCAATTTTATGTAGTACATGTTACTG